TGGAGGTTGCTGTGAGCTGTGAGGCCATGGCACTCTACCCAGGGGGATAGCTTGAGGCTCCGTCTCAAAAAAAAAAAAAAAAAGAATAATGTGTTTCATCTCCATCCAGGTTAATACAAAAGATGTAAATAAAGTCTCCATTATTTTATATTTTTTATTTTTTGGCGACAGAGTCTCAAGCTGTCCCCCTGGGTAGAGTACCATGGTGTCATAGCTCACAGCAATCTCCAACTTGGACTCAAGTGATTCTCTTGCCTCAGTTTTTCTATTTTTGGTAGAGATGGAGTCTTGCTTTTGCTCAGGCTGCTCTCGAACTTGTAAACTCAAGCAATCCACCTGCCTCAGCCTCCCAGAGGGCTAGGATTACAGGTGTGAGCCACTGGGCATAGTCCCAAGTCTCCATTTTTTTTTAATGGCTGAATAGTATTCCATGGTACACAGATATCACAGTTTGTTAAACCACTCCTGGGTTGGCAGGCATTTAGGTTGTTTCCACATTTTGGCAACTGTAAATTGAGCTGTGATAAACAATCTAGTGCAAATGTTTTTATGATAAAATGATTTTTTTCTTCTGGGTAGATGTCTAGTAGTGGGGCTGTGAGATCAAATGGGAGGTCTAATTTTGAGTTCCTTGAGGATTTTCCGTATTTCCTTCAAAAGAGGTTGTATTAGTTTGCAGTCCCACCAACAGTGTAAAAGTGTTCTGTTCTCTCCACATCCATGTCAGTATTTGCAGCTTTGAGACTTTGTGATGTAGGCCATTCTCACTGGTGAGAACTGGTGATCTCAGGGTGGTTTTGATTTGCATTTCTCTGATGATCAGAAGTGATGAGCAGGAAAATGCTACTTTCACATTTCTCCCAATGGCTATTTAATAATGTGTCCCCTGATCCTTTTGAGAGATGCTGCCTGACTTTTTCTGGTATGAATAATTCAGCCCAGCTGGGCCTGGTGGCTCACGCCTGTAATCCTAGCACTCGGAGAGGTCAAGGTGGATTGTTTGAGCTTAGGACTTTGAGACCAGCCTGAGCGAAAGTGAGACCCCATCTCTACTGAAAACAGAAAAACTAACCAGGTGTGGTAGGTGCCTATAGCCCCAGCTATTTGGGAGGCTCAGGCAGGAGGATCACTTGAACCCAGGAGACTGAGGTTGCTGTGAGCTATGACAGTATCATGGCACTCAACCCCAGGGTGACAGAGTGAGACTGCCTAAAAAAAAAAAAATCAGCCTATTTCAACCAATATTTTGTCAAGAAATGCTAAAAAGAGAAGTTGTCAAGGGTCTAGGGGCAGATTAAGATGACTAAGATGCGGACATAGCCTATGCTGCAGAGGGGCTCAAATTTACGTCACTTCTCTGCTTCCAATCCTGAAATGCTTCTACCTCACTGGGCTATACCCAGGACGTCCCAGGCCTCTGACTCTCTCCCTCTTGCACACCACTCCGCGGACACCAGCCCCCTTGCCTTCAACAGGCAGCACATTCCCACCTCAGCAATTTTTCACTAGCTGTTCCCTTCTGAGAATGTTCTCTTTCTCTTCTTTAGGTTTTTATTCAAAAATCATGTTCTCAAGACAGCCTTCTCTGCTCTGCTTTCTAAAATCCCCCAACTGCCATTTCATATTTCTGCCTTGCTTGATTTTTTTCTCCTCAGCATCTATCATGATCTAAATTCTCTCTTTTTTATTTTGAGATAGGGTCTTGCTCTGTGGCCTGGGTAGAGTACAGTGGTGCCATCATAGCTCCAACTCTTGGGCCCAAGGGATCCCCCTGCCTCAGCCTCTCAGGTAGCTTGGACTATGGTACCCACCACAATACCTGGCTAGTTTTTCTATTTTTAGTAGAGACAGGGTCTTGCTGTCGCTCAGGTTGGTCTTGAACTCCTGACTTTAAGTGATCCTCCTGCCTTGGCCTCCCAGAGTGCTGGGATTACAGGTGTGAGTCACCACGCCTAACCCACTAACTAAATTCTTATCAGTCTTGTTTACTGTCTGTCTCTCATTGGAAAATAAGCTCTGTCCCTGATGGCAGAAATTCACGCTTGCTTTGCTGGCTGCTACATATTTAGTGCCTACTGCTTGGGAGTCACTGAGGACTTGCTGCACATTGTTCAGTGAAAACAACTAGATATGCCAGCTTGTAAGATGTGTGAGTGGAGGTAAAATCCAGAGGCCATGAGGACACAAAAGAATAATTCTGACTGGAGTAGGACAGAAAACGAGGGACAGGTGGAAGTCCATGTTAGACGGAGAATAGTAGGGGGAGAAGGACTGGGAATTATGATAATAGGAGAACCAACGCCGAGTTGGCACATGTCAAATGTGAGATGTGAGGAGACAAGGGTCCTCATGTTCCCTGAATGAATGAAACACCGGCAAATGGTGGTCTCAAATTTCACTGCAGTGTAATAATTTCTTGTGCTATCCTCCCAACAGGCATAGACTGAGACAGAGCCAAAGCTAAATGTCTTCTGCAGGTGCTTACCTTAGGAAGATCCCCGCCCCAGAGCCGCAGGAGTAGGTATGAGCTGTGCAGGCGCCTACATCCTCCCCTTCTAGTTCGGTCTGGCAGCAGTAGCTCTGGGAGCACAGCAGAGTTCCACACACAAGGCACAGAGTTGGGGCTCTGCTCTTATCACCACCTGATTTGGGGCACCTCCATGGGGGAAAAAAATCACATATCATTGCTCTAAGAAAAAGTAGCCCAAGCTTATGGTAAAAAAAAAAACTCTTGGAAAAGAATTTTGCAATATCAAGAACCAAGAAGCATGTATGATATGGTATGGGCAAATTCATTCTTAGAAGAGGGAATAGGGAACAACTCACACACATACACAAAAAGCATGGACTACAAACGCTCAAAGAATCAATAACTGGGGAAAAGATAAATAAAATCATCAATAGCAGAAAAGGACGAATAAATCATACTATTGCCGTGTAATAGGACACTAGTGAATAGAACACTAATGAAATGCTGTTTTTATCAACATAAATCTTAGAAATGATGACTGAAAAAAACTCTGCATGATACATACAGTAGATTATCATTTAAATAAAGCTCAAAAACATGCTAATATATGCTACTGAGGAATTTAAGTCTATGCAGGTTAGGAACGCTTAATACTCCACTTACAATAGTGACTATCAGCAGGGGAAGAAGGAGGAGGCAACAGAGAAAGATACACAGGGGCTTCAACTGTCTAGGTCATATTTAAATTCATATACTACTGGGCTGATTCTTTATGCTACTTGTATGCCAAATCGTTAAAAATTTTTCACAATTACAAGGACTCTTATTATTTTATTTTCATTTTTAATTGTTTTTGCTCTCTTATTATTTCAAAGTGCTTCAATTATTCAAATTACTTCAATTATTATTTAGATAATCAAATTTGCCCCTATCACCCCAGTCGGTACACAAGGTGGAATGATGCTGTTATAAATTAGGTAGTATATAATACTACTGATGTTATGACTTCCCTACTCAAATAAAATGAACAACAATAAGAAAATCCCTCAAATTCTTTGTATAGAGGCGTTTTCAGTGGCAGGGACTGTTCAATGCTCTGATAGTAAAAACTTACGAGAAATTGGATGCTTGATTAATGAGGCTGCTGTAGTCTTCTGGAAGGTTTATTAATTTGTTAGATTCTCTTGGATAGCTAAAACAAAGTAAAATTTGAAAAAGTTCAGTTAATACAAGCTCATATTATAATGATGAGAGGGTAACTCTAAGTGTAGTCAAAACAAATAAAAGACTAAATCTGAGAGACTGTCTGCTACCACAGTGATTTAAGAATCTGGAGGGGCCAGGCATGGTGGTTCAGTCCTATAATCCTAGCACTCTGGGAGGCCAAGGAGGGAAGATCCCTTGAGCTCAGGAATTCGAGACCAGCCTGAGCAAGAGTGAGACTCTGAGCAAACTCCTGTTGCTCAAAGGAGTAGGGCGCTGGCCCCATATGCAGGAGGTGGTGGGTTCAAACCCAGCCCCAGCCAAAAACTGCAAAAAAAAAGAAAATTAGCTGGGTGTTGTCGTGGGTGCCTGTAGTCCCGGAAACTCAGGAAACTAAAGCAGGATTGCTTGAACCTAGGAATTTGAGGTTGCCAGGCTGATGCCACAGCACTCTATTGTGGGCAACAGAGTGAGACTATGTCTCAAAAACAAAACAAAACAAAACATACTATGGACAGCCTGACCACAGGAGTTAAGCTATAGAAGATAGGGATATGCTTAGTAGGGTGATCTTAAGGCAGAATGAGTTGGAAGAGAGGTGTAGTAGAGGAATAGACATATCTTCTTTAAGGTAGATACACCATGCCATGTTGATGCTATGACTCAAATTAATTCAGACAAAATTTAATTATTTATTTTTTCTGGAGACAGAGTCTCATACTGTTGCCCTGGGTAGAGTGCTGTGGTGTTAAGAGCTCACAGCAACCTCAAACTAACACCTGGCTCAAGCAATCCTCTTGCCTCAGCCTCCTGAGTAGCTGGGGCTACAGGTGTGTGCCACTATACCGAGCTATATTTATTTGTAGTAGAGATGAGGTCACTTTTGCTCAGGTTGGTCTTGTACTCCTGAGCTTAGGCAATTCACTGGCCTTGGCCTCCCAATTGCTAGGATTACAGGTGTGAGCCACTGCACCTGGCAAAGTCAAACAAAATTTAGATCCAAATTCGATGAGTCCTTGAGGACTCTCAGTGTAAGGCACTTCCATGTGTACATGCCCGCCCAGCCTGGCTGACACAGGGCGGCCTTTCACTATTCCACCTACTGCAAAGACAAGGAGTGGACTGAAACTGTGAGGGGAAGGACTTAATCATACCAGAATCACTAGGGGGAATGTGGAGGGGAAATACAAGCTAGGACTTCAACTTTAGAGAAATTATATTTGGCAGGTAGCATGTGGAATATTTTTAAAAAGTTTCCAGGGTTATTCTGAAGCATTATTCAGGTTGAGAACTATGTTCTATATATTCAGAATTTTTTGAGTATAGGATTGAATCACATGAAATTGGTAATAGTCAACCATTTCTGACACAGAAAGACTGAAATTGCAAACGGTTCCAACTGTTATTATTTATGGATGTGTTAAAGCAAACAATTAGAACAGATAACCTCCTTTAGTCTTCTGATTTTTATGTATGCTGTATTTAGCAAAATCAAGGAGATACATGTTGACTATCCTTTATCTGAAATACTTGGATTTGGAATTTTTTAGAGTTTGGAATATTTGCATTATTGGTTCAGCACCCTAGTCTGAAAAGGCAAAATCCATACGTTTCAATGAGCATTTTCTTTGAGCACTGTGTTGGTCCTAAAAAAATTCCTGATTATGGAGCATTTTGAATTTTGGGTTTTTGAATTAGAGATATTCACCCTGTATTCACCACAGAGTAGAGCCCATTTTACTACAGAACCAGAATACACGTAGAACCAATGTAAAAAGGAATAAAGAAAAAAACAAATACAAAAATGGCCATCATGTGATAATTACTAAAGGTGAGTGGCAAGTATGTGGAACCTTGTTCTTTTATTCTTTACACTTTTGGGGAATTTGGAAATTTCCATAATAAAAGATAGGAAAAAAAACAAACCTAAGAAAAACCCAGAAGAGGACCTGTTTTTTTAATGGCAAATATTTCAGAATATAGTAATTTTGTTATTAGCTTCCTTTGTAAAGAATAAAGTAATATACTTAGGCTTATCATTCTGAATTTTATAAACGCCCATCATTTGATTTAAGGAGAAAGTAAGAAGGCAGGATGTCCTCCTCTGGGAATGACTGAAGGCTTGGGGAGTCCTGCGTCTTCCCCACCTCTCACCCCCAACCCCGATCAAGTTTTTGATGATCTTTAACTTACCTTATAGCATCTCTTTCACCTTCTAGATATCTTTTAACTTCATTGTTATGACACCAACTTTAATGTAAAGGGGGGGGAAACACAAAACGTTTTTATTTTTCTTGTGCCTATTGGTCATTTACATAATGTCTTTGGAGAAATATCTATTCAAGTCCTTTCCCCATTTTTTAATTGTAAGAGTTCTGGAGCTATAAAAAGATATATATATATATATATATATATACACACACACATACCCTTCTCAGATAAATGATTTACAACTATCTTCTCCCATTCTGTGGGTAGGACAGCTATCCAGCTTAACTCAGTAACTAATTTGACATGACTGACAGGTCAATTTCTCTAGATTTCAGTTTTCTCAAATATAAAGTAGGCACTGGACTAGATAATCTTTAAGGTTTTGTTTAGCTTTAAAAATCTATGGAGCAGAGTCCTTAATAAGTAAGTTCAGGTAAGGAAATAAACATTTCTCCTATTATTCCCTTCCCGTGTGTATCTCTTTACGTTATTCTCTAGCTTGGCAAAAACCTTACCGAAAGTCTAATCCTTAATTAAAAAGGCCTCATGGTAGTTTGAATTTCATGTGTTGAATTCTACTAGGTTCATTATTTGAGAATTTTGCTATGTATGTGATAACCAGGTTGGTCCTACAGAGCTATTCAATACAATAAAGAAAAGCATATAATCGTTACCTTTCAATCAGTAAATTCATTATCTCACTATTTTCTTGAAAAAGGCATATGAGGTTGATTGGTAGGGAAAGGTAGTTACATAAATGTTCAAAATGGCTTGTTCCAGAAACTGCAAACGAAGAAGAAAAGAGTAATATACTACAACAACTAAGAGTACGTCCTGCATGGGAATAAGCAGTAGTAGAGGTAAGAAAAAAAATCAATGATGAAAAAGAGCAAAACTGCCACGTATATGCGAAGTTAACAGAATGGCATGTGGAAGGAATCCATGGAAGACAGACAGAGGGGAGTCAGGTGATTCCTGCAGCCAACTGGTCACAATTTCTATACCAAACTGATCACAATTTCTGGGTGTTTTAGCTTTATCATTTGCAAAATGGTATACCTGTTCAATCTATTTCATAGTGTTATTATGAACATTAAATGACAAACATAATATATGGGTGCTTTGGAAAATTCTTGAGCAGGACAGAAACCTAAAGTGGTTTTATCACAAGAAATGTATTTAAATATTAACTCTAGTCATCACTGCAAATAGTTTGAAGGCCTAAACTATCCTATAGTTGCCATAGGTGCAAATATAATATAGTTGCCATTATTCTATTCATAGCATGAAATAATGCTGTGTCTGTAAGTTGACTGGTATACCACAGCATTACACGCAGGCACCCTCTGACCAGTGCCAAGCACGGTCAGAATGCAGAGATACAATCAAACCCACCTTTATGAAATGAATCAAACCATAACATGGAAAACAACTGTGAAACAGCAAATCAATTCCCACACTAAATTTAGGTTTATGTGCAATTATGGGTATTCTAAAACATTTTTTTTTCTTGAGATAGAGTCTCACTTTGTCACCCTGGGTAGAGTGCCTTGGCGTCATAGCTCACAGCAACCTCAAACTCTTGGCATGTGGAGGGAACCCATGGGCTCAAGCGATTCTCTTGCTGCAGCCTCCTGAGTAGCTGGGACTAAAAGCACCCGCCACCATACCCAGTTATTCTCAGAGATGAAGAATAACTCTCTTTTGCTCAGGCTGGTCTCGAACTCCTAAGCTCAAGTAATCCTCTTGCCTACGCCTCAAAGAATGCTAGGATTATAGGCCTGAGCCACAGTGCCCAGCCTGGTATTTTGAATTTTAATACCATACATGTCTCAAATTAAAAATTACTGGAAATAGTCAATTTTCATTTTATAAAATCTGAAGAAGCCGGCTTATGAATAATATTTAATTGCACATTTTCACATCAGAAAGCAAAACTATGATCTTTATGGGAGAAGTGCTTTGCAAGTATAAAAACATTTATACAGAAGTTTAATAATATATTTGCTAAGATGCAGATAAAAGTAGAAACACATACAAACATGCACTTTCAGTGTGCATCACCACACTTAGCTATGCTCTAAATCAAAAAGTCAGTTTACATTTTGTAATTCACCTCTATATTTGCTGGAGTAAAAGTCTACAGCCGTTTCCTACATTTTGAAAGCAATTAGAAATTACCTTGAGGCTCGGCGCCTATAGCTCAACTGGCTAAGGCGCCAGCCACGTACACCTAAGGTGGCGGGTTCGAATCCCCAGCCCGGACCCGCCAAAACAACAATGACGGCTGCAACCAAAAAATAGCCGGGCGTTGTGGCGGGCGCCTGTGGTCCCAGCTACTTGGGAGGCGGAAGCAGGAGACTCGCTTGAGCCCAGGAGTTGGAGGTTGCTGTGAGCTGTAATGCCATGGCACTCTACCCAGGGGGACAGCTTGAGGCTCTGTCTCAAAAAAAAAAAAAAAAAAAAAGAAAAGAAATTACCTTGAATGTCAGGTGGGGAAGGAACTCCATTTAAGTAATGAAAAAACAAAGCAGAACATTTGAGGAAAGGCATGATTCCAGCTCTGAGGTTCCTCCACAGATGCCAGCCGGAGGACATTTCTTTCAAGGCTCTGAAAAGAGAAAATGATTAGGAAATCTAATAAGAAAAGGTCACTGTAGTTATAGCACAGTGTGAAATCAGAGATGACTGCCATTTGAAAGTGACGACAAATATGCTTAAAAGGAGTGGGCTGAGCCAGGTGTGGTGCCTGTAGCCCCAGCTATTCAGGAGGCTGAGGGAGGAGGATTGCTTGGGGCCAGGAGTTTGAGGCCACTGTGTACTGCACCTCCATCTGTGAATAGCCATTGCATTCTGGCCTGGGCAACACAGTGAGACCCCATCTTTTAAAAAAAGAAAAAAAGAGTGGGTTAACTAGTGGTGGCCCTGATTATACAAGATGTCAGGTATAAGTGGAGATATAGCTCCCAGTGTTGATATTAAAATGTATGATAATATAGCCATAAAAAGGGAAAATGTAGAAAATGAAAAACCATCCCCTAGTCCCGTGTGACATAGGACTAGCAGGTACACTATTCTGGAAAACTAGTTTCATAATAATTTGTCTTTACACAGTTATAACTGTTATAATGAAACTTAAAATTAGTATGTTTTCTGGAACGTTATAAGCCATAATATTTTCTTTTTTTTTTTTTGAGACAGTCTCTCCCTGTTGCCCTGGCTAGAGTGCAGTGGCATCAACACAGTTCATAGCAACCTCAAACTCCTGGGCTCAAGTGATCCTCCTGCCTCAGCCTCCAGAGTAGCTGGGACTATAAGCATATGACGCCATCCCTGGCTAATTTTTCTACTTTTTCGGTAGAGATGAGGTTCTTACTCTTGCTCAGGCTAGTCCTGAGCTCATGTGATCCTCCCACCTCAGTCTCCCAGAGCACTAGGATTATTTTCAATTGTTTGCTATCAGAGTGTACATTCTTTACATGCCTGTAAGTTTTTCTGTATGTTGGATCACTTTGTTAGGGTGGATTCTCAGAAATTACCCTCAGAATCCTTCAGTGGGTAATTTAATCAAAGAGCAGACATTTTTATAGGTCCTTGACAAATACTGTTAAAAAGTTTAGTAAAACTATTTGTAGCAAATCACAATACCTTAAACAATATGTTAAGTTCTAAAAATTTCACTCCACTCTTGTCACTCCTGGATATTACCCTAAAAACATATTTTGCCAATTTAATTTGTGTTTCAGAAGAGCAACTTTCCAAAGTTCATTCCACTCATCCACCAGTTTGTGGCAGATCCTTTGAGCGAATGAAAGGTTCTAAGTCCAAATAAATGTGAGAAGCTCTACGTCCTATCACCCTGCTCAGAGATGTACAGTTATGCTAGTATATAAATAGCTGAGAGAAGTCCTAGACATCACTCCCATGTCTTCTTTTTAAAAAAATGTATTTATTTATTTTTTGAGACAGAGTCTCACTTTGTTGCCCTAGGTAGAGTGCATGGGCATCACAGCTCACAGCAACCTCCAACTCTTAGGCTCAAGCAATTCTCTTGCCTCAGCCTCCTGAGTAGCTGGAACTACAGGTGCCCGCCACAATGCACAGCTAATTTTTCTATTTTTAGTAGAAATGGGGTCCTACTCTTGCTCAGGCTGGTCTTAAACTCCTAAGCTCAAGCTATCCACCCATCTTGGCCTCTAGAGTATTAGGACTATAGGTGTGACACCTGCACCTGGCCCACATCTTTTTTTTTCAACACATGTCAATAGACATCAATTTCTCCAAATTGGCAAATAAATTCTTTCCTCATGCTATCATCTATTAGTATTTGGGGAAATGTTTATCATGTAAAGGTTACAACCTCACCTTCCTGTATACTGGTGAAGTGTTTTATACAAAGCAAGAATTGCTAGTTCTTCTTCAGTAGTGGAATTTTCTTGATCCATGCCATTCTCTTCTGAAAGATAAGGAAATAGTAGTATTCCATCTTTTCCAATTAAGTAATATCAAAAGGATTTATGACCACATCATTTAAGTATGCAAATGTATTCACACACTCACATATAACAGGAAATATGCCCACAAATCATATAGAATTTTAATCCTTCAAGTGTGAGCACAGTATTGATCTCCATCAGACCAAGGAGCCAGCTGGCATTTTTTCTTTTTTTTTTGGACACATTAAAATTTGCTTTAATACTTCTTGGGGGAAAAAAATAACACACTTTTAGTGAATGAACAAGAAACATTTTTACAGTAGCTGTAGGCTATTATTTTTATCTATCATGCCATGAATTCATAGGGAAGAGGTTCCCGTAGCTCAGGGAGGCACCTTGCCATTGAATGTGACAAACCATTGACTGACTTCTGAATTCATGGGAAATAGGTTCCAGCACCTTGTATCACTGTCACATGGGGTCTACTGGTTATCCTGTGTGCTGTGCTGTACACCTATTATGCCATGAGCTCGTGGGGAATAAATAGGTTCTTGCACCTAAGAGCATGGGTCCACTGGTACTCCCGTGTGCTATGTTATATGCTTATTATGCCATGAATTCATAGGGAATGGGTTCCAGGAGCTCAGACTCCTTTCCATTGGTTCTCACAAAGTTTGCTTCTCTGGGTGGAGCAGGCTGGCACTTCAGTTGAACCCAGTACCTTTCTCTTTGGCTTCCTTCTTTTTCTGATCATTTTCTTTCACGCGTTTCAGGAAGCTTCTCGGCTCTTAAAGTGCTTACTGTGCTCAAAATGAACATTAATCCTCTTGGCAAGAATCTTGCCCTTAACTTGTTTGTTTACAACAATGCCAACAGCATGCTGGTAACATTGTACACTCTTCCAGTTTTGCCATGGTAACATCTGTGTGGCCTGCCTTTTTGAACAGTACCCATTCCCTTGATGTCTGCAATATCACCTTTCTTGTAGATTCGCATATATGTGGCCAAAGGAACAACTCCATGTTTTCTAAAAGGCCTAGAGAACATGTATCGGGTGTCTCTCCTCTTTCCCTTTGTGTTTGCCATTTTGGTGAAATACTGGAAGATGGCATCTCCAGCTGAAAGGCCCAGCTGGCATATTGAGAGTAAAATCAACTAAGTATACTGTCTTAAAATGTTTGAAAACAGGAAGTTTGAATGTGAAAGCATAACTGATGACCTTACAGGGGCATTAAGTTAAAACAAAATTATCATTCTATACCCTAAAATTCTAAGGCGCTTAATACTATCCTACTCAAATACTACAGAACTTAGGAAATAAAAATAAGTAAAAACCTTCACACGGCTAGGGGATTTTAATAGGAAAAAGAATATTATTTCAAAACTTTGCACATGAGGATAAACAGAAAAAGCAAGCCTCATTATAATTCACGTTGATTTGCTACTCTTTCTTTTTTTTTGAGATAGAGTCTCACTCCGTTGCCCTGGGTAGAGTGCCGTGGCACCATAGCTCATAGCAACCTCAAAATCTTGGGCTTAGGAGACTTACTTGCCTCAGACTCCCAGTAGCTGGGCCTACATGCACTGCCACAGTACCTGGTTAGTTTTTCTATTTTTAGTATAGATGGGTCTTGTTCTTGTTCAGGTTGGTTTTGAACTCCTGAGCTCAGGTGATCCACCTGCCTCAGCTTCCCAGAGTGCTAGGATTACAGGCGTGAGCCACTGTGCCCGGCCAATTTATTACTCTCATCCAAATACTTCCCCTTTTTTAAAATCCAAGAGTACAGACTCAACGTTGCCCTGAATATATGCTCTTAAATACCTTTTCCTTTAAAAGTTCTTTTTTGTTTTTACTTTTAAAAAAAAATTTTTTTTCCCTAAACTGAGAAAACTTAAGTATTTCCTTTAAGAAGGTGACGAACAGGTGAGAATTACCTGTACATGAGGTAAGTAAGATTTGAACGATGTGTGCCATAGTAACCAGATGGAAAAGGTGAAGGTCTCCAGTGCCAAGGCTGATCCCTGAAAAATCCTGACACTGCAACGCAGGGAAAGCAAGCACCAAGCTCACCTAGACACCAAATAAGGACATCAGACAGACTGCCTTTCCTTGCATAGCAAAATACATTTCCATTTTCCTACTGTGATCCTTCTTGAGCTAGCCCTGCCCTTTAAGAAAAGTTTGTTGGTAAAGGGGAAACACATTAGAAAATTCACTAGGAAGGGCTAAATGAAATCTATTAAGAGTTAAGGGGGTCGTGATGGGCACTATCATTTCATTTATCCAGTGGGTTCCCCGTACATAGTTTACTGCTAGTAATAGTAAAAACAACACTTGAAATCTTTCCAGAGAGTGAACAGTTGAAAAAGAGTAGGTCTTGGACCTACAAAGATCTAGATATGAATCCCAGCTCCTTTTTAGACAGTTAAAACTTCTGAGCTTCAGTGTCCCCACTGGTAAACTGGAGGTAACATCTATATGTTTTGAATACTTCATTAGCAGGGATATAGACTCAGTGAATGTATGTGAAAGCTGCAGATACACTATAAGTGGTAGCTCTTTGTTAGCCTCCGGCTGCCTGCAAGGTGTTGGTTTTAGTGGTAGCAATGAGAACAATAGTGAACTTTCATTTGAGCAGTATATCCCATTGATGCAGAATCTTGAGGTCTAACACTCGGGGCTGTGGGTATGGTGGTGCACTCTGTATTCTGCACAAGAGAACCCAGTTGAGGGGGAGCTTAAATTTGGCTTCTTTGTTATCAACACCTGCCATCTGTGTTCTGGTACCAGGTTACATCTGCTCAGAAGATGTACCTTTCCCTGGAGCATAAAAAGGGGCTTTGTACTTCTCAGTAATGTGACCATAGGGCTGTACATGCCCAGACTTTTGCACACAAGCACTGGATGGGCCAACAGTAGCCATTACATGGCTGGTGTCATTTTTATCTCTTTATAGGTTAAAAGGACAGAGAAGTTGGGCAGTGCCTGTGACTCAAGGAGTAGGGTGCTGGCCCCATATACCAGGGTTGGTGGGTTCGAGCCTAGCCCCGGCCAAAACTGCAAAAAAAAAGTAAAATAAAAAATAAAAAAGGACAGAGATGTTAAATACTGACCTCAGCCACAAAGTAAACTAAAAGATGGAGAATGTCTAGACAAGGTCAAGTCTCACAAATAGGTTCCTTAATATTTCTCATAAAAGAATTATACTCAGAAGTAGTTAAGACTATCATAGAATTAACTCCTCCTATCTATCTCCACACTACTCGGTAAAGTTATACAGTACAATAAAGAGAACTGTAAACAAGTTGCAAAAACTCACCAATAAGTGAAACATGTCAATATCCAATATGCTTGGAGGGTCTTCAAGGCTGTCATTAGGCACCAATGCTAAACATTTAAAGACTACATTAGTATACTGCATACGCCAACATAAGTTAAAATGGATATAATCTAGTTTAAATTTATCTTTTTGCTTATAAATTTATAAGCTAGAGTTGATACATAAGAAAACCAGTACTACCAAATATTTAATTCACAACTGAGAAAAGTTGTGCCATTAAAAACATAGTAGACTGTCATAGTTGACCATCTCCCTTCAATGACCACCTCAAGTTGACCTAATTTTTATAGACTGGGCAAATATCCCATGTACTAAGGTCTAGTTCCTTATGTTGACCAGTATATAGACCAGTTAGTTATAGTCCCTTGAGTGGTCAAGTTACAGAGGTCCTATTGTAATTTCAGAGGATGAGAAATTACCATAAGATATATTGTAAATGTAAAATTACTCACATGCAAAAAGCTTACAAAAGTGTCCTTGTACCATTGAAAGTGATGTGACTGTCCAATGTGCTGATGCAAATCTTGTTAGTGACCTAAGACAGTCATCCTGAAAAAAAAAGCAAACACAATTAACCAAGAAGCCAATATATGAAGTAGCTGTCTTCTTTTAGTTCAAAGCATAGTTAGACGCACAATGAAAATCTCTCTAAATTATATGGAATTGAGCCATGACATCGTAATGACATGTCTCTAACACAGAAGCCCCAGAACAGGAAATATCTAAGCTATCTCCTCGCCACCATGTTGCTGATTCTCTTGGACAAGAATACATGCATCAAACAGGTAGTAAGCAACAGATACTTTCAAGAGGCTGATGCAGTGCTCCTTTGTAGGTATGCTAAAGAGATGCTCTAAAATGTAGGAAATGCTCCTAATATTGGGGAAAGTATATGCAAGAAGATGAACGCACAAATTAGGGTGTCTGTACAGCAATTAAAACCTGTTATGGGAGCTGGGCTTGGTGGCCCATGCCTGTAATCCTAACACTCTGGGAGGCCAAGGTGGATGGATTGCTTGAGCTCATGGGTTCAAGAACAGCCTGAACAAAAGCGAAACCCCATCTCTACTAAAAAATAGGAAAACTGAGGCAAGAGGATCACTTGACCCCAAGAGTTGGAGGTTGCTATGAGCTATGATGCCATAGCACTTTATCTAGGGCGATAGCTTGAGACTCTCGAAAAAAACAAAAACAAAAACAACCAACAAACCCTGTTATGGGGACTAAATAGTAATAATGAAAAAACAAAGCTACATGTGAATACTGATTATGAACAAATAAAAATATGCGAATGAAAAAGATGGACCGGTGGTAAGTTGATGAGCTTTTTCTTCCTGCTTATTTTTCCATTTACCAATTTTTCTATAACGTTTGGTGCAATAAACACTGAGGTTCTACTATACACTAGGTCTCGGTTTTGAAGATCTTCAAATGAAAACTCACTCTCCTGCTCTCAAAGAGTTTACAAAAGCTGTGGGTGGGAAGGAGGAGGAGAGGGCGAAGGGAACAAGTGTTATGAAGTGATGGGCCGTAAGAAAAAAAAAGGACAGAGACAACAGAAGGAGGCAGGCATCAAGATGAGAGCACCTTATTCACAGGACACAGCTCAGAGGGGTATCCCAGGGAGTGTAAAGCCCAAAGTGCATTTGGGGTAGGAGTCTGCTTAGCATATCTGGGGAGAGCAAATGGAATACGGGAAGGCCTGGGAAGTGGCACTTAGGAACTGCCAGTGCCTCTTCAGGTCTGGACCATGAGGGTGGGGACTGGCAGAGAAACACACCGCTTTTTGAAGGAACTCCTACAACAACGTATTAGAGAAGGGTGAGAGTCAAAGTAGAGACTGCCACAATAATACAGGCAAGAAATGCTAAGGCTGAACCGAACAAAGTAGGAATGGAAAGATTTGGTAGAGTCTGCTGACCAACTACAGGTGAATGCCCAGGCCAAATCCGACAGGACTTCAATTTTCCGTCTTGCTACCTGGATGAAGAGTGGTGAAGATGTTAAGAAAAACAGGGGCTGTAAGAAGAAAAATCAGTTTGTTTTTTTTTTAAAAAGAGATGGAGTCTTGCTCTGTTACCCAGACTGGAGTGCAGTGGTGCAATCATAGCTCACTGCAGTCACAAACTCTTGGGCTCAAGTGATACTTCTGCCTTAGCTTCCCAAGCAGCTAGGATGACAGGCTGCCATACCCAGCTTTTTTCAGGTTTTGGTTTTTTTTTTAAGAGATGGAGATTAGGGGGTTGGAGGTTGCCTGTGCTGGTTAAGAACTCCTGGCCTCGCGCAATCCTTCCACTTCAGCTTCCTAAATTGCTGGGATTACAGGTGTGAACCACTGTGACTGGTTAGAAAAATTAATTTGGGTTATTGAATCTGAGGTCCAGGTGAAGAACAAAAAGCAGGCAAGGAGGTAACAGACCTGACCTGAGATAAAGGTCAGCTTGGAGATCAACAGGTGGGAATCATTTGGATATAACGGAAATCAGAGACACAGATGGGGCTGACCAGGGAAGACCACCAGATGATTGAAGGTCATGGGCAGAACTCTGTTGGGTTCTGCAGAATGAAGGAGGGAGACAGACTGAAAAGGAGTAGCCTAAGTGGAAAAAAGAAAGCCAGGAATGTCACAGAAATCAAGAGGAAAAGATGAGTTTCAGAAGAAAGCAGTTAACAGAATTAAGTAGAGATGTCAAATAAGACAAGGGCTGAAAAATGCCCACCCAAAATGATAATCAGGGGATCATTTAGTGAATTTGGCAAGAGCTGTTTCCTAAAAGCAAAATAATAAGAGAAATTGAACAAAATTGCGATTCAAATGTGTAAATGGTTAGCAAGAAACTGGAGCCAGCATATGCATTATGCTTTAAGAATGTTTTGCTGTGTATAAAATTACATACAAGCCAGGCGTGGAGGCTCATGTTTGTAATCTCAGCACTTCGGGTGGCTGAGATGGAAGGACTGCCTGAGGCCAGGAGTTTGAGACCCACCTGAACAACATAGTGAGGGCCCCCTCTCTACAAAAAAAACAGAAAAACTAGCTGGGTGTGGTGGCTGACCAGTAGTCCAACTAAGGGAGGCTGGCCTGAGAACAGGAGTTCGAGTCCGCAGTGAGCTATGACATCACTGCTCTCCAACCATGCAATGGAGTAAGATACTGTCTCAAAAAACAACCTCCCCTCCAATACTCTCTCTGGAAGAACATGAAATGAGATAAAAACTTCAGGTGCTTTTTTTTTTTAAACCCATATTTACACCACATGGATTATCTATTAATTAAAATAAAATATGCTTTAAAATAGTTTGCTCTGGTGGCACCCATGGCTCAGTGGGTAGCACGCTGGCCACATACACTGAGGCTGGCAGGTTTGAACCTGGCCCAGGCCAGCTAAATCAACAATGATAATTGCAACAACAATAAAAAAAAATAGCCGGGCACTGTGGTCCCAGCTACCTGGGAGGCTAAGGCAAGAGAACTGCTTAAGCCCAGGAGTTTGAAGTTGCTGTAAGCTGTGTAGCCACAGCACTCTACTCAGGGTGACAGTTTGAGTCTCTGTCTCAAAAAAAAGTAATAATAATTTGCTCAATAAAAGTAAAGAAAGCTAGGGTACTAGATCAAAGGAAGGTAACACTGAGGGGAAGAATAAGAGGAGGGATAATTGAGCACATTTGTCTAGGAGGAAGTGCCATGAAAGAAGGAAGAGACACCTGATGGAGGAGAGAAGTTCCAGGTAATAAAGGAAAGTTGAAATCACCTTATCCTCTGAAAAGGAGCTCCTTATCCCCTGATTAGGACAGAAAAGTGAGGCGATGTACTTAAGTTTTAAGAGCATAGTCAGGAAAACAGAAGTTCACCCCAATAGTTACATACTTACTAACTTTCATTTACTATAGTAAAAAAACCCCACTCCTCACTGATCTGATAGCTGCGTAGATCATAGTTAAGCCTGATGTGAACTGGCATTATGCTGCTTTATTATAAAGACACAATTTAAGCCCTACTTCTAGGATAGTCAGTTCAAAATAAGTCTGAAGGGGCTCAGGTATCTCTATTTTTAAAAGCTCCAAAGAAGATTTTAATGTACAACTCCTAGCCAAGAACCTCTGACACAGAATCTATGCTCCTGAAACAATAAAAAGGTCCTGAGACCTTAGGAATTTGCAATGAAAACAAAAGTCAGCAAATCAGGTGGTTAAGTGATCACATGTAACTATGTTTTGTATTGGTTTTTGTTTCTTAGGTCCTTAGATCTGTGGTTCTCGATATTGGCTCCTGGGAAGCTTTAAAAAAAAAATATTAATGCCTGGGGCCTATTTCCAGAAAATCTGACTTAACGGACCTGTAGTAGGGCCTGGGCATTTTAGAAAAAATTCCCAGGTGATTCTGCATGAATCAAATCAGATGATTTTGGGCTCAAAGGCACTTTTATGACTGAAAACTCGAAGAGCAGGTGGTGTGTGATACTAACAGACACTAGCCACACAGTAAAAAAATGAGCAAGCCTGGACTGTATTCTCCTTCCCCATTTCCCTAGGCATTAAATGTACTCATTTAATTTGACATTTAGTTTGACATTAATTTGTATTTATTTACATGTTGCTTTTCAAAAGTGGTTGAATGTTTGCTATTTTATATTTCCAACGAGAGCATTAAAAATTCAAGAACAAGCACTCTGTCTTTAGTTTTTTTTTTCCATCTTTTCAACTGCTTAACTAAGCATTTTGGATGACAAAAGAGGCACAGCTGGGCGGCGCCTGTGGCTCAAAGGAGTAGGGTGCCAGCCCCAGGCCCCATATGCAGGAGGTGGTGGGTTCAAACCCAGCCCTGCCAAAAACTGCAAAAAAAAAAAAAAAGGAGGCACAGTTATTTCCTGAAATCTATTTAATAGAAACTTAAACCGGATACAGTCTGTGCCTACAGTTCCAACTGCTTGGGAGGCTGAGGTGGGAGGACTGCTTGAGCCCTGCAGATCAGCCTGGGTAGCACAATGAGACCCTCTCTTTTCTTTTCTTTCTTTTTGAGACAGAGTCTTGCTCTGTTACCCTAGCTAGAGTGCAGTGGCATCATCATAACTCACTGTAACCTCAAACTCCTAGGCTCAAGTGATCATCCTGCATTGGCCTCCCAGAGTGTTAGGATTATAGGCGTGAGCCACTGCACCTGGCTGTCTCTTAAAAAAAAGAGAAAGAAATGAAAGAACCAAACCACAAACATTACTTCTTTGATATCCTTACAGAAAAATGGTTTTTCCTATGAAAGAAGTGAACAGAGGGCTAAACGACTATCTCAAGTTTATAATACTTAAAACTAGCAGAACTACATAATTTCCATTCCATCTTACCATGAATTGAGTAAACCAAGAACTTACCAGTCTGCATGGCAAAGGACCAAACAAGGGTTTATCTTCATCACTCAAAATTCTTTCTGCAAGTTAAAAATGGTTTAGATGGTAGATTTTACATTGTGTAGACTTTAGCATAATTTTAAAAAAAGTTAAAAAGATAATTCTTTCTCCAGAAAGCACAATATTATCAGGCTTCCGAATCTTTAAGTCATTTTACAGTGTTGCCTTAGGATGAAAAGTAAAAATAAACACACATTCCCCCATGGGACAAGAAGCTATCACTACTACCAAAATGATTTCAATGTTGGTGTGGTTAATTTATACACTGTCAACCTAATATTTTCTTAGTATACTAAGTCTTTTTATTATTTCTTTATGTTGTTGCCCACTTTAAATACTTTCTTAAAAAAATTCTGCACATAATTCGTATCAATGTATTGCTTTTGACTTTCAGAGAGACCACTGTAAATCTTACCTATGCTCTGGATGGTGTACGCGCAACTGCCCCAACACATCATGGGCACACGGGGATCATCTTCATTGGGGTGAACCTTTAGTCCCACCTTATAAACAGCAGTTCCGAATGTCGTTAGCATTTCTTTTATGCTCTCAGAATAAGGGTTCCTGTAGTGAATACACATAAAAGAAGCTCAAAACAATGTGTACACATCAATCAAATGATTTAGTTTCTTAATAACTGTTTGCTATATTAAAACTGAACAATTTGAGACTCTGTGACTTAGGCCTGTAATCCCAGCTACTCCACAGGTTGAGGCAGGAGGATCACTTGAGGCCAGGAGTTTGAGACCAGCCTGGGCAACACCATGAGATCCCTATCTCTAAAAACAATACCCCCCCCCCCCCCCCGCAAAATTAGCTGGGTGTGGTGGCCTACACCTATCTTCCCACCTACTCAGAAGGCTAAGGTGGGGAGGATCACTTGAGCCCTGAAGTGCAGACCTGCTTGGGTAATACTTGGAGACTCCAGGCCATGCCCCAGCAAAATAAGTAAATAAAAACGAACCACTTACTGTGTATCCAGACACAGTTGTACATAAAGGGATAATCAGAGATTATGCGAACCATGCCTGTCTGAAAGGAGTTATGCTTTTGCTTTAGCAGAGGTGAGGCACAGGGCTGGTTTTGAATTCCTGAGCTCAAGTGATCCTCCTGCCTCGGCTTCTCAGAGAACTAGGATTACAAGTGTGAAGCACCATGCTTGGCTCTGAAAAATTACTTCTAACCTAGAATTCTATACTCAAACCACCAATTGAGCATATGGATACAACAAACATATTTTCAAACATGAAAATGTAATATTTCAGGTATCTGTTCTTAGAAGTATGCAGGATGACCCTATGTAAGAGGAAGTAATTAAGAGAGAGGAAGATATTCAAACCAGAAAACAAGAGGAGCATGGCCAGAGAACAAGGGAAGTCTCAGAGTGCCAGCTGATCTCTGTCCTGATTGGTACAGGAGAACAGAAGCCGTGTGGGAAAAGAAGGCCCCAGAACAGAAGACCCTCTGACAGGTCTGAGCTCTTGGACAAGCTATGCAAGGCATTAGAGGGATATATTGAACTGTTTCCAAAAAAAACCCCCAAAAACAAAAAAAAATACATACATAGAAGATCAACTATTCTCAAAATAGTATGAGAAAGGAAATATAATTCTGATATGCAACTTGTATTAGTAGAGACACAGTTATTAAAATGTAAAAAGTGACACCTGACTTAAACAAAATTGTGAGATAATTTGTCAGTTAATAGAAGGATGTTGTTTAATTACAAATAATGGAAGTCAATACTAGGAAAGACACACAAATGACAGGACTGAGGGTGGGACGGGGGACTGTGGGAAGCAGAGCACTGATGCTTTTCTGTGTAAGCTTGCAGTTCTGTATTTATTGAATTACTTAGTACATGCCAGGTGGCTTTACATACATGTCACTTTATCCTAATATGTAATAATGCCTATGAGTTATGCGTATCCTCATTTCATGATGAAGGAACTGAGACACAGAGAGGTGAGGCAATTTGCTCCAAGTTGTGCAGATAATAAGCAGCAAGGCCAAGAACTAAGTGAACCATTCTAGAGCATTCTAGCTCTGGGATCTATGTGATACTTTGTAACTTTGCTACAGGGCAAAATAGGGCTGAAAATACTCTAGCTTTGATTCTGGGTTACTAGGGGGCTGGGGCCCATCACTGAAATATGGACGTCAAATGAAAAGCGCAGGATTCAGCGGCAAAGCTGAGCTTGGATTTAGAGGTACTAATGAAATGCCTGCAAGGCAAAGGATGACAAGGATGTTGTCAAAGAGAACAAGATAAAGGGGTATGGCGGTACGGCAGGGGTCAGCATGTAGACTAGGAGAGGATATTGAGAGTTAAACATGCCACACGGTTCTCAGGTTTGGTTTCAACATACCCTAATCAACATCATCACATAATACTTAATATTTCAGAATTCAAGGTCAATGTCCTATAACATTTTTTCCCTTAGTCATAGTCCTACTAACTGCTGAGTTAACTTCTCATTTTAGATAGGCCAAAATTGAAAGGAATAAAATAATATACTCACTTGGGATGAAAATCAGGCCTGAACCCTTCAGGGAGCTGTAACTGATCCATATTTTCTGGATTCTTTGAAGATGCAGTGTCTAGAGAAAATAGGAATTTCCGACCAGTATCAACAAATATAACATTTCTATACGTTTCAGTAATGTAGGTCAAAGAAATTAAAAAACAGGAAAAAGATTCCCACTAATGAAAACTGGCACAACCTGCACATATAACATGAAAACGCTGCTGCTCTGGCAGACCACTGTCTCCGGTTACTTAAGGCTTTTTTTTCAAAGCAAAGCCACTAAAGCAAGAAAAAAGAGTAAGCTATTTGGTTTCTATGAAAGCCAATGATATAAATCCTGCTCCTTTTGCTTTCCCACAAGGTCGTAAGTGTAGTGTGTGGTGTATGGAACTTGGGAAGCCTTTACAAAGCCAATAATAGAGTTAGCCCACTGAGAACTTAAACTTGATTTTCAATGCTTAGATACATACACTCCCTCATCCCTGAAAATTCTTCAGTAAAATGAGAGAATAAGAAAAAAGTATTTATTGTAAACTTCTCATGAGCTTGTGTATTTTCAGGGAATAATGGAATAAATTCAAATTTAGTTTATTAAGACAAAGATAATTAAAATGAGTCAAATTTTTTTTTTTTTTGGCAATTTTTGGCTGGGGTCAGGTTTGAACCCACCACCTCTGGTATATGGGGCCAGCACCCTACTCCTGGAGCCACAGGTGCCTCTCAAAACAAGTCAAATTTTTAAACGGGAGGTCTCACTTTTAAACAATTTCTCCTGGAAATACACTTTCCAATGATCCCAGGCTTCAGGGAAAAATGAAAATAGGTTACCAGAACTTACTCGAAGTACTTTCTTCTTTCCTAAGAAACTGTAAAGCTTGTATTTGCTGAGATATTATTCTAATCCACTGAGTCAGATTTGGCTGGTCTGAAAAATTTAACCTGCTGAAAAGATTATAGAGAATTTTCAGTATGTTATTGTTGTTGCTTAATTTAAAATACAAAAGACTCCTTAAATGATCAGAGATAAAATATTTTATACTCATTCTAAATATCAAAAACAAAGAGGATAGAAAAAAATACCTTGCATTAAAAAATAAACCAGAATTAATTTTTACATGCTCATGCCTATAATCCTAGCACTCTGGGAGGACAAAGCAGGTGGTTTGTCTGAGCTCAGGAGTTTGAAAGGAGCTTGAGCAAGAGTATGACACCATCTCTACTAAAAAAAAAGAAAAATTAGCCAAGGATTGTGGGAGGTTCCTGTAGTACCAGCTACTTGGGAGACTGAGGCAAGAAGATGGCTTGAGCTCAAGAGTTTGAGGTTGTTGTGAGCTATGATGCCACTGGAGGATAGAGAGAGACTGTCTCAAAAGAAAAAAAAAAAAGAAAAGAAAAAGGATAGTTATTGGCCAATGAACATGAAAATATAGAGTATTTGTCAATATGTTAATAATGTTGTTTGTTAAACATTTCACTTCTTTTGTAGTACTGGAATTTGCTAGAATTTCTAAAATATCACAATCACCACTACCACCACTATTTATCAAGAGTTTATTATGGAGCACTTTCTTAGCAAAGCATTTTACTCTATCTTATAGTATTAGATCTAATCCTGAAAGTGTATCTATGAAATAGGTTGTATTACTGCCTGCATTTTTTTTCTTTTTTTGAGACAGAGTCTTACTATGTCACCCTCAGTACAGTGCTATGGTGTCACAGCTCACAACAACCTCCAACTCATGGGCTTAAGTGATTCTCTTGCCTTAGCCTCCCAAGTAGCTGGGACTATAGATCTTTTTTTTTTTTTTTTGAGACAGAGTCTCACTTTGTCACCCTGGGTAGAGTGCTGTGATGTCATAGTTCACAGCAACCTCAAACTCTTGGGCTCAAGTGATCCTCTTGGATCAGCCTCCTGAGTATCTGGGACTATAGGTATCTGCCACGATGCCCAGCTGGTTTTTCTATTTTAAGTATAGGTGGGGTTTTGCTCTTGATCAGACTGGTCTCCAACTCCTGAGTTCAAGCAATCTATCTGCCTCGGCCTCCCAGAGTGTTAGGGTTATAGGCATTTGCCACTGTGCTTGGCCCAGCCTGTGTTCTTTCTAAGATTGTGTTCAACTATGACTAAGCCATAATTGACTCTTATGGAGAAAAACAAAAAGTGAATTGTCAAAGTGACAGGTGAAATTCAACAAAGATGATTTCTCCTTAAACACAGTTAATCTTCAGTCTAACAGCGATTATTTTATTAGATCAAATGCAGATATAAGTCAGCACCACAGTATTTTTTTCATGATTAAAAAACATGAACTTGGCTCAGCGCCTGTGGCTCAAGTGGCTAAGGCACCAGCCACATACATCTAAGGTGGTGGGTTCAAATCCAGTCCAGGCCCGCCAAAACAACAATGATGGCTGCAACCAAAAAAATAGCCAGCGTTGTGGCGGGCACCTGTGGTCCCAGCTACTTGGGAGGCTGAGGCAGGAGACTTGCTTGAGCCCAGGAGTTGGAGGTTGCTGTGAGCTGTGATGCCACACTACTCTACCCAGGGTGACAGCTTGAGGCTCTGTCTCAAAACAAACAAACAAACATGAACCTAAGCCCAAATCTACTAATATTTTAAGAACATTTTAAGGGTAGCATAGACTGAGACATCAAACTTTGAATTCTTTTTTTTTTTTTTTTTTGAGATGGAGCCTCAAGCTATCCCCCTGGGTAGAGTGCCATGGCATCACAGCTCACAGCAACCTCCAACTCCTGGGCTCAAGCGAGTCTCCTGCCTCAGCCTCCCAAGTAGCTGGGACCACAGGCACCCGCCACAACGCCTGGCCATTTTTTGGTTGCAGCCATCATTGTTGTTTGGCGGGCCCGGGCTGGGGATTCGAACCCGCCACCTTAGGTGTATGTGGCTGGCGCCCTAGCCACTTGAGCCACAGGCGCCGAGCCCAAACTTTGAATTCTTAAAATTGAAGAGAAAAAAACTGACTTTGCTTTGAACTGAATCCAAATAACAGCACAGAATAGTTTACATTTATAAAACTTAGTCTTTGTGCATGTAAGGTAGATAAACAGTGTTTAATTCTACACTGAGAAATGAAGTTCAGATTTGAATAGTAGGCAGTATCAAATTCGTTTCTGAAATGAATTATGTCCAATGCTTCCATTAACAAATATCCTAAAAATTACGAAATGACAGAAATTTTCCCTTTTCAACATACTAACAGATTTTCTTTTTTTTTTTTTGGAGGCAGAGTCTCAAGCGTTGCCCTGGGTAGAGTGCTGCAGTATCACAGCTCACAGTAACCTCTAACTCTTGGCTTAAGGGATTCTCCTGTCTCAGCCTCCCAAGTAGCAGGGACTATAGGCACCGGCCACAATGCCTGGCTATTTTTTGGTTGCAGCTGTCATTGTTGTTTGGCGGGCCTGGGCTGGATTCAAACCCGCCAGCTCCTGTGTATGTGGCTGGCGCCTTAGCTGCTGAGCTACAGGCTCTGAGCCATCAATAGATTTTCATATTTTAGCCTGATTCATTTTTTAAAGCTATTGTTGACCAGTAAATTGTTAAAAATCGTATTCAATAAAATTACTTTGAGCACATATTCCCTATCAGTTTACCAACCATCTCTTAAAAGGTATAAGGGAGACATTTGCAGTAGAGTCCCTAGAAATGAAGACGATACTCAGTTTTCACAAATATACAGGAATTTTATAGCTGCTGAAGTATTTATGACTATGAAACTGTTAAGTTTTGACCTGTTCCTAACAACCAAAATCATATTCTACAGGTCTGCTAGAAGAAATGACTAAATAAAAAGTTTGGAAAGTATCTGGTTTCAAACATTATGCAATTACCTAGAGTGAGTTCTTTACCCTGCTTTATTATTTATCGTTAAAGAAAAGCACTTCTTTTTTTAAAAAAGAAGGTATTGTGAGCCAAAACTTACCGGTTAAAAATATTTCTTGGAGGAAGCAGCAGAGGAATAACGGTATTACTCAAGCATTCACAGAGAGGGCAAAGGAATTCTCCATTTTCTACATCATAGCTTGTATGTAAGCGTAATCTCTGTTGCCTTCGCTGTTCTTTAGCTTGAACGGAATCAAAATACCTTTACAATTAGAGAACATGAGGTATCAAAAACAATGGTAATTTATTTCAATGAGAGTCACAAGCTTCAATATTAGAAATAATTTGTTTCCATAAATAGTTCAAAAATGAAAATCTTAAAATGAATGGAATTTCTTTTTTGTTTGTTTGTTTTGGAGACAGAGTCTTATTGTTGCCCAGGCTACAAGGCCAAGGCATCAGCCTAGCTCACAGAAACCTCAACTCCTAGATTTAAGCCATCCCGTCTCAGCCTTCTGAGTAGCTAGGTCTATAGGTGACTGCCACAATGTCTGGCTAGTTTTTCTATTTTTTGTAGAGACAGGGTCTCACTCTTGCTCAGGTTGGTCACAAACTCCTAAGCTCAAGTGATGCTCTTGCCTCAGCCTCCCAGAGTGCTAGGTGTGAGCTGCTGCACTGGCTAAATGGAATTATTTTTAACATGATTTTTGAGTTATTTTAATTACCAAAATAGATTAAGAGTTCTAACATGAAAAAAAATGCCTTGAAATTAAGTAGCAAAAGAAATTTCCTAGTGCCACTGCTGTCTGGCCGCTCCCTTAAATCTTGTGGCTATGTTTTAGGGGCAGTTCATGATAACTGAGGGTGCATGATAACTATTGATTTGTCAGTTTTGCTGAAGCACAGAACAAGTTCAAGATTATTCCGTCTTATTATGGGAGCCATTACAATTTTCGGAAGTAACAAAGCAAGTACTAACACCTTTTGAATCAAGAGTTGTTTGCCTTGGCCCCAAAGATAGACATCATGACGTTACCCTTCTAGGGTTTATCCCACTGTAAAAAATCTTCTTCATCCAGTTAGTTAGCTGATACATATTGACTTCCTTCTTTGGAGGAATAAAAAAGACACTTTAATATAAAGCCACATTAAAAAATTTATCTAGGTGGTGCCCGTAGCTCAGCGAGTAGGGCGCTGGCCATATACACCGACACTGGTTGGTGGGTTCGAATCTAGCCCAGGCCAGCTAAACAACAATGACAACTCTAACAACAACAACAAAAAATAGGTAAGCACTATGGTGGGTGCCTATAGTCCCAGCTACTTGGGAGACTAAGGCAAGAGAATTGCTTAAGCCCCAGAGTTGGAGGTTGCTGTGAGCTATGACTCCACGGCATTCTACCGTGGGTGACAACTTGAGACTCTGTCTCTAAAACAAAAAAAATTTATCTGATATACTATAAAGTTTATAAGTCATTTCTTTCCATCTATGACAAAGCAAAACCTTTTGTCATTAGGCAATGATAAGCAGTTTTTTCTTCAACATTGTCAGTTCTTTTTTCTTTTTTCTAGAATAGAGTTTCTGCTACTTAAAAATTTAGTTTCGAGCCTTCATGTAAGCTTCTCTTGACTAATATTAAGAACATAAATTACCTTTGCCAACAATGGGCATGCATAATGTGCCCACAGCTACCAGTGTGTGTTCCGCAAGACAGATCAGGGTGCATGAATAATGGATCATATTTGTCTATATTACAAAACAAAACAGAAAACCAAGCATTTAACTTTGCTCTAATAAATACAGAACTTTACATTGTAAAATCTTTGATAAGGACTCGTAAACTTGAAATGCTAGTGTATTCCTTTCATTTGGGATATCAGTAATTTAGATAAAACCCAGATTATTTAGCAAGCAGGATTCTCTAATGTTCATTATCCTGAACAAATTAATTAAACATCTCTGAACTGTAAACTGAATTGGAATTCTGTTATTTAAGTATATCCAATCTTTTGAACATTTGATACTTCCAGGGCACTGTGAGATTCTAATTCTCTCCATCATACCCTAAACTCAAAGTAAAAGAGATTTCTTCATGGGACTATGTTATATACATTCAGGGCAGCTGGCTCACAACGATCTCTAATAAAAAAGATGCTTTGGCAGTAATGGGGCGCCCCCTAGAGGAAAGCATGGTGAACTACTAACTAATCACTGTACCAGAGCTAAGGTGACAAAAATCTAAGCCCAGACTACATGGGGAAAAAAATGTAATTTAGTCTTCTGTTCTGGTGCTAATTTTTATATTCAAAGGAGATGGAAAATAAGACAAATAAGACGCCTGCCCTCTTTTGGAACTTGTTTAATTCTCTACATAAATTAGAATAATCTTAGAAATTCTCAAACACTCTAGAAAGAATTACTCAAGTTTCAATTTGCTTTATATACTAGAACAGTTCAACTGTCACAGCTTTGTAAAGAAAATCTTTTTTTTTTTTAAATTAAAGGATTTTATTTTATTTAATTAATTTTTTTGTTGCAGTTTGGCCGGGGTGGGTTTGAACCTGCCACCCTTGGTATATGGGGCCGGCACCTTACCCACTGAGCCATAGGCGCCACCCTAAGAAAATCTTTTATGATATGAATTATGAAAGCATTTGAAAAAATCTACTAATAGCTAGCCAAAGTTTTTTCTTTGGAAAGTAACAAATTAAATAAAATTGGTAACTTCATCTTTGTCCTGGAACGAAATTTATAAAGTACCTAGTTCATATGACCATTTTTAAAGATGAAACAGATGAATCTTTCATAATAATCCTTCAATGTAGCTTGAGAGCTGCATTGTGAAGCCTAAGAGCGGGCCCCCAAACCTGCTTTCAGTCCTGTAGTATGAAAGGCACTGGTTACAGCAGTGCTCCGGAAATTCCTCAGACACAGTTCCTACTCTGAAGACAACTAGATATACATACTGTTGGTGGGACTGCAAACTAATACAGCCTTTTTGGAAAGAAGTATGGAGAATCCACAAATTGCTAAAAGTAGACCTTCCATTCGATCCTGCAATCCCTTTATTTACGCAGAAGAAAAAAAGTTCTTCTTCTTCTTCTTTTTTTTTTTTGCAGTTTTTGGCTGAGGCTGGGTTTGAACCCACCACCTCAGGCATATGAGGCCAGTGCCCTACTCCTTTGAGCCACAAGTGCTGCCTGAAATAAAGTTCTTTTAACATAAGAACTTGCACTGGAATGTTTACAGCAGCTCAATTCACAATCACAAAGATGTGCTTCAACCCATGAAGGATTAATAAAATGTGGCATATGTATACCATGGAATACTATTCAGCCATAAAAAGACGGACAGTTGACATCTTTTGTATTTATTTGGATGCAGTTGAAGAACATTTTCTTTAGTAAAGTATCTCAAGGATGGAAAAGAAAGCATCTCAGGTACTCAATACTAACATGAAACTAGTAGGTTAGCAACTACAGGCCCACACAAAAGAAAAATGTAATTCAATTCAAGGAGGGGGAGGGGGGTTGGCAAGCTCCCACCTAACAAGTAAAATGTAGGGGTATACGGTGCAACTCCTGGGTGAAAGACTCTGCTACAACTCAGACTTTACCTTACAAGTGCAAACAAGGTGGGGCGGCACCTGTGGTTAAAAAAGGTAGGGCGCCACCTGTGGCTCAAAAAGGTAGGGCGCTAGCCCCATATGCTGGAGGTGGTGGGTTCAAAACCAGCCCCGGCAAAAAACAAACAAACAAACAAACAAACAAACCAACCAAATGCAAAAAAAGTAACCTAATCATATGTACCCTCATATTAATCTGAAGTAAAAAAACCCAGAAGTCTACTAGATATTATTGCACACAGAACACGTGCCTAAGAGTAGGGACATAAAGGTGCCTGTGGTGGACACAGTAACAGTTAGTTCAGATTCCCCTACAGGAACAAATGACACACTGACTTAGTCCCTCAGCTGATGAAACAGCGTCCTCTAGCTGTCATTCCTACTTGAGGGAAACCTGCCTTCCTCAAGATCACGCCTCTTGTGGTCCACACCAGTTGCTAATCAGTGCTAGGAATAAAACCCCCTCACACCAGTTCAGGACACTTTTGAAAGGCAATCCAGCTCCAGAGCACCCACAGAGTTTGATAAAAACATCTGGGGACTGCATTATAATTCAACTTCTCCCTTTGCCCAAATCTATTTCTCTCCTTTCCCCGGACATGGACCCCAAGGCTCCTCCCTAGATGTGCTGCACAGTGATGTCTGCCTCAAAAATCTGCTTTCTGAGGAACTGCACCCAGAGCAGTATCACTATTTTAAGCCAGGATTTGGCTTGAGGCTTGCTTCTCACATAGGTAACTCTCATCACTGTTCTCAAAAGATTCCACTCTGGCCCTATCCGTAAGAAAATAGTTACTGTTATTTCAGTGTGTCAGCAAATTAGGAGGACTTTACGAGAGTGACGAAAGATGGAAAAGACTGTTAAGTACCAAAGTATGTTAATGTCACATCATAAAGAAAACTTTCCTTTGACTCCCTGAGCAGCCATGTGACTCAGGGATGATAATCTTCTGGAGTAGTTCCTCATCTGTCAAATGGGGAAATCCTGCTAAGATACCACCAAGCCTATAGAGTTATCATTAGGTTAATAAACTCTCCAGACATATCTCCAACCACACCGACTGCCAGTCATTAGTAATAGGGAGGATGAGGATCTGGCTGTACTTACCTGGATCCTGAATGAATTTACTTCTGTCTTTTGATAGCACAGTTGATCTTTGAACAAATGCTGCCAAGACCATTGCCCTGCTTTCCCCATTGACTTCTTGCTCCTCTTGACACAATATACAGGTAGCAAACTGTCTCTGTTCTGGGACCTGAGTTTGTGAGGGTCCCAATGCTGTAAGTTTCATATCTGAAGCCATAGGGCTGCAAGAAAAGGATTATGAATATAATAAATGAACCTAAGAAATTTCTATATAATCATAAAATAGCAGACTCCAGGTATGTACGGATGTGGCTTCAATGACTTGAATCACCTGGAGTCTCTCATTTGTATCAAAATCATCTCCCTTAGTCCTAACCAAAATCTAACATGCTAACATGCAGGTTACTGAGCCTGCGTACTTAACTCTTCATTCAGGAATGCCAAGGGTCTTCTGTAGAAAATATCATATTAGGTGTACACATGAATTACTTTATAGTCAGAGATTTCTAAGATTAATTCCTCTAACTGGAGGCCACAAATTTCACCTAAATGCTACTAAATTACTTTAGGATTGGGCAGTGCCTGTGGCTCAATGGGTAGGGCACTGGGCCCATATACCGAGGTGGCAGGTTTGAACCCGGCCCTGGCCAAACTGCAACAAAAAATAGTGGGGCATTGTGGCGGGCACCTGTAGTCCCAGCTACTTGGGAGGCTGAGGCAAGAGGATCGCCTAAGCCCGAGAGTTGGAGGTTGCTGTGAGCTCTGATGCCACAGCACTCTAGGAGGCGACAAAGTGAGACTCTGTCTCAAAAGAAAAAAAAATTACTTTAGGATTAAAAATGTGCTTATAAGGAGAAAAAGCGTGGCTTTTGAGGATGACCGACGAAGAGATTAAGTAATTCTGATTCTTAAAAAATATTTACCTATTATCCAGAACAACAGAGGTTGAGGCATCTAGTTCCAGCGTTTGCTGAAAGAGCTCTTTGTTCTCGTCGATGAAGTGCCGCTGCATCTCAGACATCTGTGCCATGATCTTCTCCCTGCGCAGCCGGGCAATCTCGGCTTTTCTCTTCCTCTCAGCTTTGTCTTTATCTCTTGAACTCTGAAATCATGCTTCATTCCATTAGACCATTAGATGCTAAATACACTTTTATTTCCCAAAGCGAAAAATCTTTTTTTTTTTTCTTTTTGAGACAGAGCCTCAAGCTGTCCCCCTGGGTTGAGTGCCGTGGCATCACAGCTCACAGCAACCTCCAACTCCTGGGCTCAAGTGAGTGTCCTGCCTCTGCCTCCCAAGTAGCTGGGACCACAGGCACCCGGCTATTTTTTGGTTGCAGCCATCATAGTTGTTTTGGCAGGCCCAGGCTGGATTCGAACCTGCCACCTTAGGTGTATGTGGCTGGTGCCTTAGCCACTTGAGCCATAGGTGCTGAGCTGAAAAATCTTTATTGTAAATACTAATTAAAAACTATTCTATAATCTGACTTATTTAAACAACCTAATATTTAAAAAAAAAAAATGACCAAAACAATGTGTTATAACAAATAGAGATAAATAGTGTCACATTTTTTGGAAGTCAAATGTTTAAGAATACTACTGACTAGAAGGGAAAGGGGGGGGGAGGATGGGTGGAGGGAGAGTAGTTGGTGGGACCACACCTACGGTGCATCTTATAAGGGTACATGTGAAATTTACTAGGTGTAGAATATAAATGTCTTAACACAATAACAAAGAAAATGCCATGAAGGCTACGTTAACTAGTTTGATGAAAATATTTCAAATTGTATATAAAACGAGCACATTGTACCCCATGATTGTGTTAATATAAACAGCCATGATTTAATAGAAAAAAAAGAATATTACCAACCACCAACTTACTGCAGATAAATTTACTTGGTTCATACTGAACTTGCTACAATTTTTAAATGTTATTATACTTTACTTCTTATACCTCTTCTAATATGGTTCCTTCTGTCTCTGCCACAGGACTGGTAGATGAATTCTCTCTTATCTTCTTAATAGCATTAAAAGTCTACAAAAAAAGTATTAGTTATCCTGAAGCTATGAAACATGCCCACATTGTGTAAACGACAAATTTTTAATGTTTCTCACAAAAAGCAGAGTATTGCAGTAAATTTTACCTTTAATATCCACCTAATCATGTCTTTGTGGACTTCTAGGTAGGGAGAATTTTGCAGTGTTTCCAGCATGGCTAGTATGCTGGGAGAGTTGTCTGGCGCTTCACCAGGTTCTAGGCAGAAAAATAAAAGGCACCATAACAACAGCTAACATCTCATCGTGCTTATTTCTACACACAAGAATCTAAGTGCAGTTATTATTATAACCTCTGTTGCCTATCCTAAGATCACAGCTCTATTTAATGGAGATTTTCAATACTTCTTGAGAATGTAACATATTTGCTTTTTCCAAATAAGTTAGCAACTAGGATTCTTTAAGTACTCAAAACTGACTTCTTATAACAAATGGTTATTTTCACACAATTTCTAGTAAAATTAAGTAAAAACTCAAGTCTTTTACTGGGAGATGGACACAATGGCATGTGCCTGTAATCCTATCTGCTTAGGAGGTTTAGATGGAAGGACTGCTTGAATCCAGCCTAGGCAACACACTGAGTTCTTGTCTCCAAAAAAAAGGGGGGGGGGCGGCACCTGTGGCTCAAAAAGGTAGGGCACCCAGCCCTGGCCGAAAACTGCAAAAAAAAAAAAAGAAAGGGGGAGAGGAAGAAAGGTTGGCCTACCTCTTGAGATTTTACATGTCTAAGGAAAATGAAGTAGGAATACATAGGTTCTTATATGTATAAATATATTTATTTGCTCTGCCCTTTAATAGCAGCTAAAATCAGAATGAAATAAATTTCTTGCTAGAAATTCACTGTTTTATTTGAAGACGAGACATAAAATTCAAGTCCATGAGTTACATTCACTCCACCTTTAGTTGATTTAGATTGCAGTCAAAAATGTCTGATTGTTGATATTTTTTTTTTTTGGAGACAGAGTCTCACTTTGTCACCCTGGGAAGAATGCTATGGTGTCATAGCTCACAGCAACTTCGAACTCCTGGGCTCAAGCGATCCTCTTGCCACAGCTTCCCAAGTACATGGGCTACAGGCACCTGCCATAACACCCAACTAGTTTTCCTATTTTTAGTAGAGATGAGGTCTCACTCTTCCTCAGGTTGGTCTTGAACTCATGAGCTCAAGCAATCTGCCTACCTTGGCTTCTCAGAATATTAGGATTATAGGCATGAAACACTGTGCCCGGCCTGATTATTGATTTTCTTGATTTAAATGCTGCCATTCTGGTGAAATGTTCCCCCTTTCCTAAGAGGGAAAAAGACTCAACTATGTGATATTTAATTTTCTTCCAGAAGTAACGTTCTGTATGCATGAGGGATCTGACCTTAGATAAGGTAGAGGTTTCTTTGCAAATATAGTATCTTAATTATATAAAATGTTTAAAGAGAATAAGAGTAATGTTCACAGAAGATAATGATTTTTCTTTTTTAAAAAAGAGAAAGTAAGAGAAAACCTGACATCAACTTTGGAACATTCTGTGTGGGTATTCTAAAATTAAAGCACTGGACACAAAGAGGGCAAAAATCCAAAGTGTTCACCCATAAAGAGAATACTGGCAGAGGAAAGAGCAGGGAAAAGCTAGCACCCAAAACAGTCTTCAGTGGGAGACAGGCAGTTTCTCTTCTTCCTCCCACTTAGGTAATGGCGAAAAGAAAAATTAGAGATTTAGCTGCAAACTCTGGAAGCAGAACCTGGTATTCTCATAATCATTACTGTTTAGAAAGAAATGGCACTGAACACAGTTACAGAAACAATCCCTTTCAATGAAGGCATTCATAAACTCCTATTATAGCATTATGGAGTCATTTAAAAATACTCAGCTGGGCATGCTGGCTCACACCTGTAATCTCAGCACGTTGGGAATCTGGGGGGGGGGGGAAGCCAGGAGTTTGCAACCAGTCTGACTAACAGAGTGAGACCCTGTCTCTACAAAAAGTATGAAAATTAGCCAGGCATGGTGGCATGCCCCTGTAGTCCCAGCTACACAGGAGGCTGAGGATAGAGGACTGCTGGAGCCTAAGAATGTTGAGGTTATAGTGAGCTATGATGACGCCACTGAACTCTGAGCTTGGGTGACTGAGACAGGCCCTATCTCACAAAAAAGCAACAATAAAACACAAAAATGAAAAACACCTCAGCAAATGGGTGACTGCAGGTCTGAGGCAGAGAAAGTACAAGATGAGTCCAGGCATCTCTGTGTCAGAAAGTGAGGTGGTGCTCAAATATAATGGAGCTAGATGAAAAGGACGCAGAAACTGACAAATTTTCACTGCTCTAAAAGGCGCAATTTGAGTATCAAAAGGAATAATAATTATAACTGAGTATAAAGCACCAAATACCTACAAATCCATGGGTAATATTAAAAAAAGACTCTCAACAAATAAAAAAGATTCAAAGTTGCCACCATTGCAGGTAACTATCAGACCAACTTCTTATTTTGAAAATTAATAAAAGGAAAAACTGGGGTGGCACCTGTGGCTCAAAGGAGCAGGGTGCCGGCCCCGTATACTGGAGGTGGCGGGTTCAAATCTGGCCCTGGCCAAAAACTGCAAAAATAAATTTATATATATGTATATATATTAAAAAAGAAATAAAATAAAAGGAAAAACTTTTCTTTAAGAGGTGAAATATGATGCCTACAACAAATGGTTCAAAAAGCATGCAAACAGAAAAGCAAATATTACAAAATATTAACTATTGAATCTAAGGGGTAGGTACATGGATGTTTGCAATTCTTTCAACTTGTCTATATGTCTAAAAAACTAGAATAAAACACTTCCTTGGCCTTCTATCATATATTACTTTAATAAAATGATAATCTAATCCCTTACAGATAAATTTTGTTATTTTCGATACTGTCAAATCTTAAGTTTTTAAGACAACAGCAACAATTTAAAAGTAAAATCCTGATAGCAAATTTTGTTTTTAAAAGCATATTCTAGTTTTTAAATGTATCTGCTATACCAATTTATTTTTGGAGAGACAGAGTTTCACTTTATCACCCTCAGTAGAGTGCTGTGGCATCACACAGCTCACAGCAGCCTCCAATTCCTGGGCTTAGGGGATTCCCTTGCCTCAGCCTCCCAAGTAGCTGGGACTACAGGTGCCCACCACAATGCCCAGCTATTTTTTTTTTGTTGCAGTTTGGCCGGGGCTGGGTTTGAACCCATCACCCTTGGTATAATATGGGGCTGGCGCCCTGCCCACTGAGCCACAGGCACTGCCCTGATATACCAATTTTTAACTTAGAACTTGTTCTTATTTTTTGTTGTTTATGAATTAAAATATATGTATTTTAAGCACATATAGGCTCTAGTAGTTAAATAAAAATAAAAATATATCAGGATTTAACATAGAGGAATACATATAGCCTCAAATGTTTGGATTCAACATTACCCAATTAAAATCTGCATGATCCAATAAATGAGGTTGTAAGTGATTATTTAAAAATGACTTGTATCTTGAAGTTAGGTTAGTTTAGTAAGAAGTGTATATACATACTTGAGATCTTCTGAGAGAAGGTAAATGTTACTACATGCTCTTCCATGACATTCTCTAAATGTTGTTTTTCTTCTTGTAGTGCCATTCCGATTAAATGTAACACCTCAAAATAAAATGTTTTGTAACTTTTAGTAAAAAAAAAATCAAGTACACATTTTCATACGAAATAGCAAAAGAGAACTCATTCAATATTGAAAAAAGATAAATCAAACTTATAATGCAGACTAAATGCGATAAACAATAAATAAAAGTACTACTTTTTATTAAATTAAAAGACTGATGTTCATATTCTAATCAAGAGTTCTTGGTAAGGAAAACAAAATGTTATTTTTTCAGGGAGTGAGAAATTTCAATTGTAAATTCTTAGGAAAGCTAAAATTACCACCAAGTGTGACCAGCAATTCATATAATATTTAATTTTCAGTTTTGTCCCATACTTATATCACAGTCTTAAGAAATCTTCGATGAATCAATGGCCGAATAATTACAAAACTAGAAGTATTTATTATGTAATGATCTAGTCTCTGATACCATCTAGTTCGATTTCTCTTACGACTAAATGTTCATCATCTGAGGAAGAGGCATACTTTTTCGTCCTTAGTACCACCTAGTTCATAAAGACACTTATAGTTCTTCAGTAGATCTCACAAAATCCCCCTGGGTAGAGTGCCATGGCATCACGCTCACAGCAACCTCTAACTCCTGGGCTCAAGCGAGTCTCCTGCCTCAGCCTCCCAAGTAGCTGGGACCACAGGCGCCCGCCACAACGCCCGGCTATTTTTTGGTTGCAGCCGTCATTGTTGTTTGGCGGGTCCGGGCTGGGGATTTGAACCCGCCACCTCAGGTGTACATGGCTGACGCCTTAGCCGGTTGAGCCACAGGCGCCGAGCCGCTCCCCAATTTCTGAAGGAAATATGTGTGCTGTCTCTGTGTCTCTCCCTCCACATAGTCAAACTGTGGAGGGAGTGAAACTGCCAGAGACTTGAAAGGACTAGGTTAGCCTGACTGACATAAAGCAAAGGTGCACACACAGGCAACACTGTTCATGCCTCCTTTCTCCATGTCCTACAAATCTTCTGCTCGCATAATGCTGACAGTCTCTAGTACACCGTAGCTCCCTGCTTTTACATAGTAAATGTTCATAAATGGAAGGCAGGTGCACGTATACACACACCTTCGCCAAGGAGATACTTGAGCCTGCTGAGATAATCCAAAGAATGGTAGTTTGAGAGGAAGGTCTGTTTTCATTTGAATCCTGGCTTTACTGCTTTCTAGCTATGTACCTTCAGAGAACCCCTCTGAGCCTATACCATCATCTTCAACATAGAAAAAAAAGAACTTCCCTCTAGAGTCATGGGGCTTACAAATACTATAGGTAAGGTGCCTAGTACGGAATAGGGCCCAGGGTAGACATTCTATTAACGGCATAATTATTATGCCACTTACTAGTTGAGTAACAGAGGAAGTTAAGTGAACCTCACTGAAACTTGGACTCCTCATCCACATGATGGGAAAAGTTACATCTACTCACAGAGGTATTATTATGTGAATTCAATGAAGTAATGTTAAGAATGACTTACATTAGAGCTATAAAATAAAATGCGGACAAGGTTCCAGAGTTGCCACTTATTAGCTATAGGAACATAAGTTCTCTGAGCCTCAAATTCTTCAACTGCAAAATATGGATACTGATGAACTCAAGTTTTGGGGAAATAATGAAGTTAGAAAGATGTAAAAGATAACAAACATCATACCACTATCAGAGTACTACACACATAAAGACCAGGATCCATCAAGGCGAGAGAGACTGGCCAATGGACTGTGATAATCACAACCATCTGGTATGAAAAAAATCCGCCAGCACGTCTTTTTATAGAACAATATACTATATTTTAAATGTAGGTAACAGTGCATTTCTGGCTTCACGTTTCTGGGTACAGATACTGGTAAGATATTTTGATTTTACTACAAAACACTAAAAGATAAGTAACAAATGTCTTCACACCTACCCTTTGCAGCATGGACTCTGACCAGGAGTATCCATTGTGTTCCACAGCCCACTGCAGAATCGTTCCCATGATGCACAGCATCACATCTGACTGCAGAATGTTAACCAGACTCGCAAATAAAGGGCAGAATGGAGGCAAAACTGGAGGTGGAAGTGCTGAAAATACATTTGTTATTGGTTTCTTTTACAGAACATGCCTTAAACAACCCTATCCCTTTGTTACTTTTGATGGTCGTCATTCACAGAATGTTCATTAACAGACATCTTAAAACTATATTTTACCGTCCCAAAGTCAAACGCATGTAAATAGCACTAGTACAAAGGAAAGCCTTTCTTTTCTCTACAAAGGTCTTAAGTCCTGAGATAAAAGCATCAACCCAGAGGTGAGTTAGTGCCCATTATTTCTATATTAACATGTTTATTATTCCTTCGAACAGGAGAACAGAAAGCTTATATTTAAATCTTTCATTCCATCAATGACAACCATCACAGGTATCAGGAAACGATGTTTAACAAGAGATGAGCAAGAGATTTTTGGAATGAGGATTAAAAATACCTGTATCTTCTTTATTTTGTCTTTTTAATTTCCGTTGAGCTTCTTCTGCCTAATAAAAAATAAAGTTATTTGGACAGGGAATTAGCAGCACAAAACAACTCGGTATCAGTGACATAAGTAATCATCTTTGCTATACTATCTTCTTATTCTAGAAGATTTTTATCCTTAATGTTGTAGTCCTCCCCCTAAATTGACATATCAAGGTTCAATTTCTTTCTACTAAAAAAGTCCCCAAATGAGTTATTGATTTAAAAGGCAAGAGAAACATGTACAAAGTCAAACCAAAAAACTTAAGGTCTAAACTCGATGACCAAGCATCATAAACTAAATAAAAGCTTATGGTGAAGTTTTAATGCCATTTATTGAAAAAGTGGTTTTATTTTCTTTTTTTTTGAGACAGAGTCTCACTATGTTGCCTTAGGTAGAGTGCCATGGTGTCACAGCTCATAGCAACCTCAAACTCTTGGGCTTAAGCGATTCTTTTACCTCAACCTCCTAAGTAGCTAGGACTACAGGTACCTGCCACAGTGCCTGGCTATTTTTTGGTTGTAGTTGTCATTGTTGTTGGGCAGGCCTGGGCTGGGTTCGAACTCGCCAGCTCTGGTTTATGTGACTAGCCCCCTTGCCGCTGAGCTATAGGCGCTGAGCCTGAAAAAGTGTTTTAAGAGAAGACTGCAGGCTGGGTGTGGTGGTTCAGGCCTGTAATCCCAGCACTCTGGGAGGCTGAGGCAGGTGGATCGCCTGAGCTGAGAAGTTTGAGACTAGCCTGAGCTAGAGTGAGACCCCGTCTCTACGAAAAGTAGAAATGCTAGCAAGATGTTGTGGCAGGAGCCTGTAGTGCCAGCTCCCTGGGAGGCTGAGGCAAGAGGATTGCTCAACAAGAATCACAAGAGTTTGAGGCTGCTATGACATATGATGCTATGGCACTTTTACCTAGGGCGACGGAGTAAGACTCTGTTCAAAAAAGAAAAAGAGAAGACTGCAAAAAGCAAGATTTGATCACCTAAGAATGATTAGGAAAACTGCACAGGTTCCTATGGAAAATCATGTTAAATAGTACCAATTCTGAAATGTGCGTAAAGTGGGTTAATTGATTATAATACAGATTGAAAATTTGTCTTAAATAGCCAACAACTATATATATATATATATGCATGTATCCAATCACACGTACATATAAGATAGTATACATATATATGTACACATAAATACTAGGGGAAGAATCCAAATGTTAGGTGGTGGTATTCTAAGTAATTTGTACTTTATTCATTCTACCTTCATATAGTTCCCAAATTTTCTACAAGCAATCTAATCTTTCCTCATTTCACTTGTTTGTTTTTTGTTTTTGAGTCAGGCCCAATTGTAGCTCACTGTGACCTTGAACTCCTGGGCTCAAGTGATCCTGCCATCTCAGTCTCCCAAGTACCTAAGGACTACAGGTGCCACAGGTGCACGCTACTGTGCCTGGCTAATTTTTCTATTTTTTCTTTGTTAGAGATGGGGGTCTTACCACATTGTCCAAGGTGATGTCAAACTCCTGCCCTCAAGGGATCTTCCTACCTTTGCCTCCCGAAGTGCCGGGAATACAGTCATGAGCCACCACACCCAGCCCCCGCTACACTTTTAATTTTCCCAATTACCTTGGACTGCTCTGCCCTTGAATAGTGATAGAAATACAAGTTGAACTCTTTGGCACATTCTGGTTTCACTTCATACATGCCTCGTCCTGTTAATCCAGGTTTCCTACGAGTGAAAAGCCCTTACAACATTATTACTAAAGCCATACATTCATGACATAAGTCTTAGATATTAAAATAAGAAAGCAGAGCTCATATACTGCGGTGCAATGCAGTGGCAATAATTTAAAAGTTTAACAGCAGCTAATATGTTACATAAATTGCATCTTCAAACAACCGAACACCATTAATAGTGATGTTAATTTCTCTATTCTGACATATAAAAATGTCTGTAATATGTTCTATTAAGTAGAAAAAAGCATTTTTGGGGGTTGCAGTTTGGCCAGGGCCAGGTTCAAACCCACCACCCTTGGTATATGGGGCCGGCACCCTACTCACTGAGCCACAGGCGCTGCCCTAGAGAACTTTTCTAAGCAAGTTACAAAACTCAGAAGCCAAATAAGATAGATATTTAAAAAGATATGTGTGAAACGCCATCATAAACCAAGTGATAGACTGAGGGAAAGTACGTGCAATGTATTTAATAAAAGTGAAAGGTACTTCCATGTATTTAATAAGAATCGAAATCTCTAATACATACAGAAATACTTATGGAACAATAAGATAGGGATAAACACTCGTAAAGAAAAATGCATGGAAGTATGAAAGAAACGTGTTCCTTCAAGTGGCCATTAAACACATGAAAAGATGCTCAGTCTCATCGGCAGTTAAGAGTAATGCAAAAAATTTTTTTTCTGAGAGTCTTGCACTGTCACCAGGAGTAAAGTGTAGTGGCGTCATCACAGCTCAATGTAATTTCAAATTCTTGGGCTTGGGCACTCCTCCTGCCTCAGCCTCTAAGTAGCTGGGTTTAAAGGAGCATGCTACTGCTCCCAGCTCATTTTTCTATTTTTCGTAGGGACTGGTTAGGCTGAAAGAGTAATGCAAATTAAAATAAGGTAACATTTTTCACCCATTTAATGCGTAGAAATTAAAAGATTGTACATATCAAAGAACTGCAGAACTGCCGGACACTCTCATATATTGCTAGCGTGAGTGTAAACTCCTAACTTTTCTAGGAAGAGAATTTTTGACGTTCCTTTTAATCGAGCAAATCCCCAAAACATTTTTACAAGTAAAGATACACATGTCAATATAAAGATGTTCAATACTTGTTTATAACACAGAAAATGTGGAAAGTATATACAGTAGAACTTCTATAGTTGACCGTCTCCGCACACTGACCACCTCCTTAAGCTGACCTGGTTTTCCCAGACTAGACACGCACCACATGTATGCACCAGTGCAGCAGGCCTAGCTCCTTACTTTGAACACCTCTGTATGCTGACCACTCTGTTACAGTCTCTTGGGTAGTCAACTTACAGAAGTTCTACTGTATCACAACCACTAGGGAAGAGATTAGATACATTACAGTATATGACTACACAGTAGTAAAAAAGAATGAAGTAGGTCTATATGCGCTGGGAGTATGTATTAAAAAAAAAAGGAACACCAGCAAGACACAAACATATAGAAAACCCCACTGAAATTTAATTTTAAAAAAGGTTATAGAACAATTAACTAAAAAATGAACCAATTTTTTTTTTGAATACCCAGGTGTGATGGCTCACGCCTTATCATCCTAGCACTCTGGGAGAATGAGGTGGGTGGATTTGCTTGAGCTCAGGAGTTGGAGACCGGCCTGAATAAGAACAAGACCATCTCTACCAAAAACAGAAAAACAAGCCGGGCATTGTGGCCTGTGCCTGCAGTCCCAGCTACTCGGGAGGCTGAGTTTGAGGTTGCTGTGAGCTATAACACATTCTACCTAGGGCAATAGAGTGAGACTCTGTCTCAAAAATAAATAAATAAAGATAAATAAATAAAGCTTCTCTTAAAATGTAATAACAGAAATCATCTGAGTGGCTGGATTATAGGCAATATTTTTTCTTCACATTTTTCTGAATTTTCAAAAGCATGTATTGTCTTTATAATCAACAAAAATAAAGGCACTGTCATTGGGGTGGGAAACAAAGAACAAGCAGGATTAAGAAACTGTCTCAACAATGTCAAGGGGACAAACTAGGTTACTGGACTCTAGAGAAAGCAGCATTCAGAGGTCATCTCACAATTCAGGTAGCACATTCAAATGGAAACAAAGAAAGTCATTTTAAGAAATAAAAATGCACTTACTTAAATCACTGCTCAGGTTAATTCTAGTATTTGAAACCGTCAGCTAGCTATGAACATCTATTCTGAACATGGTGAAAACCCTCATAATGCTATACTGAGTTGCGGAGTGCAGCGTGACATCAGAAAAGTGAAATGTCAGTGAGAAATCTAATTCAGAAGTAGAATTGGAAAGTGGCATTCTCTGAAAGTAACAACTTCATTCTCAGTTAAATCAGAGGAAACACTCTAAGAAAAATGAATTAATAGAAAGAAAAAAGTGAAATAATAAGAGGCAAACTCACTTGAAATGGGCAACTGCTTCGATCACACTCTCCATGCCAGTCTCTTTGTTCTCCTACAGGAACGAGAAATGAGTGAGTGTGTTTTAAGTTAAAAACTAGGACTCTGAGCATTACACTCTCATTAACCCAGATAGCAACCCTGGGAGGTAGATATATGTGCATTTTTTTTTTCCAGAGACATGGTCTCACTTTGTGGCCCTAGGTAGAGTGTCATGGTGTCACAGCTCACAGCAACTTCTACCTCTTGGGCTTAGGCGATTCTCTTGCCTCAGCCTCCCAAGTAGCTGGGACTACAGGCGCCCGCCACAATGTCCCATTATTTTTTGTTGCAGTTTGGCTGGGGCCGGGTTTGAACCCGCCACCCTTGGTATATGGGGCGGGTGCCCTACTCACTGAGCCACAGGCACTGCCCTATATGTGCATTTTTATAGATGAGGATTCCATAGTAAACATAATGATTAGTATATAATTAGGTATGGTACTTATTTGGTAAGCTGACAGTCATTCAGATCGATGTTATTTTTAAATATATAAAATAGATTATAATTTCTTAATTTTTTAAAAAGTCACTACCCCGTGACATCAAGGTAAGTCCTTTTAAAAAGGCCAGGCATAGGGCGGTGCCTGTGGCTCAAAGGAGTGGGTGCCGGCCCCATATGCTGGAGGTGATGGGTTCAAACCCAGCCCCAGCCAAAAACTGCAAAAAAAAAGCTAGCTCATGCCTATAATCCCAGCACTTTGGGAGGCCAAGGTGGTGGATTGCCCGAGCTCAGAAATTCAAGAGCATCCTGAACTCCCATCTCTAAAAAATAGCTGGGTGTTGTGGCAGGCACCTGTAGTCCCAGCTCCTTAGGAGGTTGAGGCAAAAGGATCACTTAAGCCCAAGAGTTTGAGGTTGCTGTGAGTTATGACGCCATGGCACTCTACCAAGGGTGACAAAGTAAGACTAAAAAAAAGAAGTATTACTATGCAACAAAGATAGGGTGAAATCCGGGAAAAATAAATGCTTAAGATTGAAAGTTTTAATCTGTGTTTGAAATTAGGGGAAAGATTTTGAAAAGTCTCAACGAAAATAAAGTCCCTTTCCAATTGTACGGGCTAAGTATTTGAAAAGCCTCATGGCTGAAAAACAGGTGGCTGAGGAACTCACTGCTCCTGGGAGGAAAAATAGCTGCTATTCAACCTACGAGTGTCCTTGTGACTGTTATTCTACACTCACTAACATGAAATACTGGCTCATTATTAAGGATAGTCTTTGGATGCTTGAGAAGGAAAAAAACTTTGGAAACTTTAGTCAACATAGACGAGTAGGTATTTTTCACTCCCTTTCTCAATATATTAACTAGATTTCAAAGTATTATCTATACCCACAGCAATCTTGGACTAAGGCCCTACAACTACAAAACTTTAATTCTAAGGACCGGATTTACTTTTTTTGGTGTCTCTATCTCTTTTAAGACTTTCTGTAAAAGATTCTACTCTTAACAGAATTTCTCTTCCTATTTTACTTTCCTATAATACTATCCCCAATATTCTTTTTGTAATTATTTACATTAAGAGTGACTGGAGTTACACACCTCCTAGAAGAACAGTTCTTACGATTGTGAGAAAGGTACACAGAAGTAAATGTAGGCTGGGTGCAGTGCCTCATGTCTATATTAGCATTTTGGGAAGTTGAGGTGGGGGGGTGGTTTCTTGATTTCAAGAGCTCGAGAGCAGCCTTAGCAAGAGGGAGAACCCCTCTCTACTAAAAATAGAATAATGAGCTGAGCACAGTGGCATGCTCCTGCAATCCCAGCTACCCAGGAGGCTGAACCACAGTTTGAGGTTGCTGTGGGCTATGATGATGCCGCTATATTCTAGCCTGGGTGACAGAGTGAGAAGTGAGACTATCTCAAAACAAAACAAAACAAAACAAAACCCAAAAAACCAAAACAATAACAACAAATAAAATGGAAATCTATACAGACTAGACTGGTAAGTAGGGAAGGATTTCTAAGATTTTCTTTTTAAAAAATACAGCACTTACATCTTCGGGTAAAGACTTCACCAATTCACTATGAGCCATAGGTTTGATGCTCAACTGATGGATAATCTCCCGCTTAATTTCATCTGTAGCATTTACCTGTCCAATTCCAGGACTAAATCTCTCTCCTGTCGAAAATGAAAAAGCATACATACATGCATTTAAATTAATCACAATACTTAAGTAATACATACTTCTAATTCATGCAGCATGATATATTTCCCTAGTTGAGTGACTCCGAGCAACAGGAAAGCAATGACTGGTCTTGCAACAAGCTAGGGAGAGAGCAGCTCCTGACCATACTCCTGAGTCTCTGGTAAGGGCAGGCTTCAGGGAGTGGAGAGAGTGCTGGTTGCTATTTTGGACAAATGGGATCAGATTAGATGTAGTCAAGGAAACCACTTTCACTCCAAGGAGGGAGAGCCTTCCTTTCCCCTTCTATCTTGTTAGTGGCAAATAAGATACCAACTTCTGAAACCTCCTTCATTGGTGTTGCCTCCTGATAGTATATAGTCTTCTTTAATCTATGGACCAAGAGTCTGAAATAGCTAGGCAGGTGGGAGAAGGTAAGGAATAAAAGAATGGGAGAGATGGGAGGGCTGAAAATATATGTAATAAGAAAAGAAATCCACACCTATTAGTCATAGGTATCCAATAGCTTAGAATTATTATATCCAAAGTCAAGAAGACACTTATGTACCACAAATCCATGGAGAGAAATCTAGCTAAGGTATAAAACAACAGTAAATAGGCCAGGCATGGTGGTTTACACCTGTAATCCTAGCACTCTGGGTGGCTGAGGCAGGAGGATTGCTTCAGTTGAGGAGTTGCAGACCAGCCTGAACAACAGCAAGACTCTGTCTCTAATAAAAATAGAAAAATTATCCAGGCATCTTGGTGTGTGCTGGTGGTCTCAGGTACTCAGGAGGCTGAGGAAGGGGATTGCTTAAGCCCAGAAGGCTGAGGTTGCAGTGAGGCTGCAGAGAACTATGATGATGCTGTTGTACTCTGGCCAGGGTACTACACTGTCCCCCCAAACAAAAAAAAACCCCTCCACCCCCAACAAACAAACCCAGAAACCACTAAATAACTCCAAAATATCTTATTCCTTGCTTGTTAAATTTGCTTGCTAAATTCTCTTGTCCCCATTTCCCCCCAAACACAGCCTTCTCATTTATTCGGCTTCAGTAGGTGTAAATTCTCCTTTTTCCAAAGCACCACAGTGCTGCTGCTCTCAACAACACAGAGACAGAATGATGGATATTCCCTCCCCTAAAACTGAGTATCCTCTGAAAACAACAAAAAACGCAGTTTAGAAATTCTGAACTACTTGCTGCCACAAACTCTAATGTCCTTTATAAATGTCTCAAACGATCTACACTTACCAACAAGCATAATGATGAGGTACAGCATTTCCTCTATCAGAGTATTGTTCTGTTGAACAACATCCTGTAACAAGTGGAGGGAGATCAGTTCAGAGATGAAAATATGCACACTGCATCATCTCAGATGATCAGTATATCCAAAAAGAAAGATGCTCCTTTAGCAATATGCTGTGGTCTTGTAAAACGTCTTCTTACCTTATGAGTAATCTCAGAACTAAATCTCTTTCCATAGTCCGGAGTACTGAAAATCTGATACAGTTCAAAGCGGCTGAGCACTATCATCAGGAAGTGATTCGGATCCATCATGGAAGCACCTGTCTTTTTTTTTTTTTTTTTTAAATGTTTGAGATGAAGGAAGAGAGGAAGGTCAAAAGGGCCACTGAACAATGAGCAAGAGATATTCTGGTTTGCATAGGAGAAAGCACTTTATCAATCCCAACATGTTTACCAATCCCAAGCCCCACCTGTGACAGACGATAGGCATGGTCAGGAATCTTAAGCCAGTGAAAAACAAAACCCAAACAAAGTCCCCCCAAAACTTAAACCCACATATCAGAATAACATGGACTATGAGTTCTCTTTCCTTCTAATGCTTTGAAGTAATTTCTTATGCATCCAATTTCTAATTTTATTCCAGGGTTCTCTGATCATTGTTTGGGGATCACTGTATGTATGTACTTAGAGAAATGTGGCATGTCAATTAAGTTTCAAGGATTTTTTACTATACATCATGTTAACCTATTATCAAGCTCTCTCAACTCACTTTTTTGTGGTAAACACTGTATTAACTGCGCTGACAGCTTTTAAATATTATTTGTATAAATTATGAATTAACCTGAATTTTATTTTGAATCAAAAATTTTGTTTTGTTGTTGAGACAGTCTCACTCGGTTGCCCAGGCTAGACCGCCATGGCACCAGCCTCACTCATGGCAACCTCAAACTCCTGGGTTCAAGACATCTTCTTGCTTCAGTCTTCCAAGTAGCTGGGACTATAGGTGCCTGCAACGATGCCCAGCTAATTTTCTATTTTTAGTAGAGACAAGGTCTTGCTCTTGGTCAGGCTGGTCTCAGACTCCTGAGCTCAAGTGATTCTCTTGCTTCGTCCTCCCAGAATGCTAGGATACACATGAGAGCCACTGTACCCAGCTAATAAGCGTTTGTTTGTTTTTTAAATTTACATTTCTTTTCTTTTCTTCCAGATAGAGTCTTGCTCTGCTACCCCTGTTAGAATGCAGTGGCATCATCACAGCTCTATAGCTCACAGCAACCTCAAAGCCCTGAGCTCACGCAATCCTATCTCAGCCTCCCGAGTAGCTGGGACCACAGGCTCATGCAACCATGCCTGACTAATTTCTCTTTTATTTTTTCTCCCCATTTTTGGTAGAGATGGGGTCTCATTCTTGCTCAGGCTACTCTTGAACTCCTGACCTCACGTGATCCTCTGGCCTTGGCCTTCCAAAGCGTTTGTTAGGATTTGCAGACATGAGCCCCTGCTCCCAGTTGAAATTTACATTTCTTGACTTTTTCTACAATTACTAAATCCACACAGACCAACTATGTGACAAACACTGTGCTAGGCAAAAGGGACAAAGGAAAGAAATTAAGACATAGTTGTCACTGTTTGCCGGGTGCGAGTGATGAAATGTTAAATAGGCAATCACAATCTAGGGTTGTGAGTGCTCCGGTAGGGGGGAAGGATCATGTTATGGCCCTCACAAAAGGGATGTTAGCCAAGTTTCAGTGAGTTCCAGAAGGACTCCTAGAGAAAATGGTGCTAAAGTAAAGACTAAGCCACACAGAAAAACAAGTTAGCTAGGAGAAGTGAGGAGGGAGGGGCGGGGGGTAATCTAGGCAACAGAAGAAATAAACGAGCAGAATTTAAAATTTAAGAGAAGGCACAGCCAATTCAGGGAATCTTTACAGACCTTGAAAATTAAAGGGGGTCAAACTAAGGGGCTTAAAATTAAGAAGGTATGGGGAGGCTTGCGCCTGTAGCTCAAGCGGCTAAGGCGCCAGCCATACACCAAAGCTGGCGGGTTCAAATCCAACCCGGGCCTGCCAAACAATAATGACAACTACAATCAAAAAATAGTCAGGTGTTGTGGCGAGCACCTGTAGTACTGGCTACTTGGGAGGCTGAGGCAAGAGAATCGCTTAAGCCCAGGAGTTGGAGGCTGCTGTGAGCTGTGATGCCACAGCACTCTACCTAGGGCGACAGCTTCAGGCTCTGTCTCAAAAGAAAAAAAGAAGGTATGGAGGAAATAAGGGGAGTTATTCTGAGCACATTAGTAACTCTGAGATGCATCCAGGAAATCTAGACGGGAATGTTTAATACCATGTTAGCCACCTGAGTTTAAGTTTAGTAGACAGGGCTAGGCTGGAGACACAGATTTGGGAGTGATCACGTGCATAGGTAGTCCTCGGAATATGAACGAGATCGGTTCTGTAGGTTTGTTCTGAAGTTGAATTTGTATGTAAGTTGGAACAGATACATTTGCCTACTACCTGCAGTAGCCTCCGTTTATAAGAGTGAATTGTGTATCAGTTGGATGTTTGTGATTCAGGGACTGCCTATAACTAGGTTCTGTGGAAATAACAAGAAGCAAAGACTCCCCACACCTTTAAGTTCAATTTGTTTTTAACTTATTACCTGAAGCATCATTATATCCTTGTCAAACATCTCGCGCCTGCATTTCACATTATGGTAGTAATAAATCTAAAAAAATAATTAGTGACATTGGGTAAATAGGTTTTTATTGGCATTGCTCCCTCTTCTCACTAAAAAAGCCTCTTAGTTTGTACGAGCGCACTTATGCGTGTGATGCAGTCTGCTAAATGGTTAACCCGATCTTAAAAGAGATTAAATAATCAGAAACTTCTAGATGATAGTAATCATTCTATGGTTCACACTTTGCAGCCAACTTTCTGGGCCTCCCAAACAAAGTAAAAGGTGGTGGTCTCAGGAACATTAAGAGCTACCGAAAATAGGAACAAAATCCATACCCACCCTTTGAATGAAATTTAAAAAGTAAAATCTAAATTTTAGAGACATGCTAAAAGAACTTTTACCTCTTAACCCAATTTAATTTATTTATTTTTATTTTTTTTATTTTTGAGACGGAGCCTCAAGCTATCCCCCTGGGTAGAGTGCCATGGCATCATGCTCACAGCAACCTCCAACTCCTGGGCTCAAGCGAGTCTCCTGCCTCAGCCTCCCAAGTAGCTGGGACTACAGGCGCCCACCACGACGCCCGGCCATTTTTTGGTTGCAGCCATCATTGTTGTTTGGCGGGCCCGGGTTTGGGATTTGAACCCGCTACCTTAGGTGTATGTGGCTGGCGCCTTAGCCGCTTGAGCCACAGGCGCCGAGCCAACCCAATTTAATTTAAATAGATGAGATCTTGATTTTTATTACTTAATATTCAACTTTGTTCTCACAGGTTATTTCAAATGACAATGAAGACCCCTGCTGTTCATCTCTATTTTGGATTTTATTTACAGACAAACGATGACGGAAAGTGCCAAGAAAATTTTTGGTTTCTTGTTACATTTTTCTTTTCAAACGATTTTAATACTGATAGCGAGTGATACTTAGCTTCGCTGACTAAATCCACTGAAAATGACAATCTTCACAGAAGGCAAGGAATCAAGGGAAAAAACTCTCCATAGAGAGTGTTCCAAAAACACTTACCTGGTTTACTAGAGAGAACCCGTTCCTTCTCCACATTCCAGCGTGGACTTGGGCGCATAAAACAAGACATCTCAGAGGATGTTCTATCAACATGGGTGGACTAAGTTCACTCTGCACAGACAAAATAAGCAAAAAACACAAAAAGTCAACTTATAAAGAAAGCTTGGTTGGCAGGAATGGACATTTTTATCAAATGTAAGTTAAACGATTCAGCTGAAGGCCTTTAAGGAAAAGATGGAGATCCTCTGAGGAAAAAGGGATCCTTCTGGCATGACTGGCTTTGCAGGGGAGACTCTTGCCCGGGGCTCTCCAGTCTGCTTCGGGCTACCCCACAGATTTCAGACTCACCAGGACCCATAATTGTGTGAGCCAATTTCTTAAAAATCAATCAATTTCTCTTTGTCTCTCTCCCCATACATATATGCACACACATATTATGAGTTCTGTTTCTCTGGAGAACCCCAATAAATAAAGTTTGCTTCAAACTTTAAAGTGATTTGAAATATAAGGACCATGATAGATATATATTCACTTTTAAAGGTCAGCACCACTTACCAGAGGTAGGAGCTCTGGAAATTTATATGCCACTTCACTTTTGCTTAATAATACATGCAAACCTGCACGGAAGAACAAGCACAGCAAGAAAGTATTTCCGTAAGTGAAAATCATTTAGAAAATAAAATCCCTACAAATTCACTCAACTTTATGTATCTTCTTTTCTCTTTGGGAACCTACTAGGTTACAAGTTAAGATACAAAATGAACCATATCCATAAACAAAGCTTTTCAATGTTCATTCCTATGAATATATATATCAAAAGCTCACTCAGAACTTGTCTTAATTACATGTACCAACATATACTGATGACATTTTAAAAAGTAAATGTTAGATGGACAAACAGCAAATGTAGCTCTATAACTATGCTAAAAACAATTTATATATGTTATGCCAACTTTAAGAGTCACCTGAAAGTCACTGGGCCATCTAGTTTGTTCCCATTTAAACTATAGTAGTGAGAGATTCTTCTGGTAACTGAGTGGGAAAATTAGCCTTTGGAACCCATGGTCTGCACCGATCCTGACCTCACCATGGATTCCCCAGAACTTCCAGCTTAGGATCAAAGCCTCCTTGGCTTCTAACCTCAACAAGTGCTTCTATGGCTCAACCTTGGTTCATTCCGATTGTGTCCTGTTTACAGTGTTACCTAAACAGAGAATGCGCTTTACAATCTTATCAATTACGTTGGCTACTTACTCGAGCCTGGTTTGAGGCTTTCTTCATCTGTGAAGACCTGTACTGCTAATCCCATTCTAGTAACTTGTTCCCAACATTTATTGCTCGAGCTCCATTAGAGCACATGCCTCAACTTAATCATGAACTACTTTGTATTTGCTTACTTAGCTCTCTAATTGGATCATAAGCACTCAAGCCAAGATTTATCAAATACAGTGAGATGAAAACTCAAAATTATTCACTCAACAGCTTTCAGGGAGGTAAAGACCTAGGCAAAAATTAGTACATTTTTAAAGTACTGACTGCTTTCACTGTGCGTAACTATGGGCATCAGCTTCTCTCCACAACGCCAGGTTTCTACAGGCAGAAGAGATCAGTGGCTGAGTTGGAGACAGGATTGACTTTCTGGCCTTCTAGTCCAACACTTTTCCATAATACCATGCTATCTGTTGTCTACGTTAAGGATTGGCTGTTCAGTTGCTCAAAACACATATAAAAACAGAACTGGGACTCAACAAGTTCTAGAAATAAGAGATTTCCTCTTGGGATCACAATTTCATTTTAGGTAATTATCTGTTGTACTATTTTAATAATCATATATTTGAGAATAAACAACTCCATCATCTTCGCAGTAAGTTATCTTAAATCAAGGATAACATGATAATGTTCAGAACAAAAAGCCTTCAGAATGAAAGAGGGATCATTACTACTAACCCCATGTACATTGAAAGGATAATGAAGGAATACTATGAACTCTAGGCCTAAGAGTTTGACAACTTAGGTGAAACCGACCAATTCTTGAAAGACACAAATTATCAAAGTCCACACAAGGAGAAACAGCCTGAATAGTTTCATATTAAAGAAACTGAATCAATAAATAACCAATAACCTTCCAAACACTAAAGCATCAGACAGCGTCACTGGTGAATTCTACCAAACATTCAAGGGAGAAATGACATTAATTCCCCACAATCTTTTCCAGAAAAATCAAAACAAAACAAAAGTACATGTTTACGTCACATTAAGTCACTAAGCCACAAATGTAAGATAAATTACATATTCTACAATGAGTACAAATATTACCTTCAGCACTTCTCTTCCTTCTATTCCCTGAGTTAAAATGGCACTAAAAATACTAACAGTATATGAGCAGGCTAAGAATAGAACCAAGAAATACAGAGGGTATACTGAAATGAGTTGTAGAGACGGACAGTGCATATTCAAAGTCTTTGCTGATGCAAGGTGGCAGCTTCAAATATTTGGCCAGTTATAAATAGCCTAGAAACCAACTACCTGAGATTAAAAGAACTGTCACCACAATATGGCTTCACTCTTGACCTGCCACTTAGAAGAATATCAATAAACACGAAACAGTTTATAGGGAGGGGAAAAAAGAGCAAGAGAAAACATAGGGTGGTTTCAAATTATTGGCACATCACTTCAGGGATAGATTACTTTGAATTTCAACAATACTGAAGTTGAAGCTAGATTGAGTTAAATAATAAAACAAGCTAACTGTAGCAAGAACTGTAGTTAGGAAATCTGAAGAAGCACTATGGTACAATGGTTAAAACCATGGCCTCTGGTGCCAAATTGTCTTCAAATGTCAACTCTGATTCTTTCCTGCTATGTGTCATTAACCAAGTTACTATCTTCTTTTTGTTTTGTTTGTCTTAGCAGGCCCTAGCTGGGTTCACACCTGCCAGCCCTAGTACACAGGGCCTGCACTCTAACCACTGAGCGATGGGCGCCCAGCCATTGTCTTCTTCCCATTTGTGAGCGAGCTTGACAATACCTGCCTCATAGGCCCATATGATGATTAAATAAGTTAATGCACATAAAACTCTCAGAATAATGCCTGACAAATAGTAGGTATTCATAAATGTTAACCATAAACAAAGATAACTTTAGAATTCTCTTTTAGGGGAAATGCTTTACCTGCAAGTAAGCGAGAAACTGGGAGGTGAATGCTAACTTTTTCTTGGGAAACACAGTATCTGATGGTTTCCACTGAATGTCCACAAATGCTGAGTGTGATTGGCTGTTCACCATCAGTAAAACCACCATGACATTGCATCAATACAGCAAGACATTTCTTGTATGCTTCAATTAGCACTTTCTCCTAAAAAAGAGGGTTTTTCTGTAAGTTATGCAAAATATTGAGTTTCTCCAACATTGAATAAGCATCTCAAATTTGACAATGAATAAGTACCTCAAATAACAATATCTGCAAAACCAAACTCAATCCTCCTCCCAAACTTGGTCCCCGTCTTCCTGTGTTCCTTGTCCCATTGAATGATACCTGGATCTATATAGCTATAGAAATCTACAAGCTATTCCGGTATCCTCCATTCCCTCATTCCTTGTTGTCTACTCTAAAACCAAACTGTTTATTTCATTTTCTAAATTTCTCTCAGAACTAGTCACTTTATCTCCAGTAACTCAAGGCACTACTCTGACTATTAAATTCCCGGCTTCAACTGTTGCCCTCCATCCATTCTCCATACAGAGTCATTTTTAAAAACACATAAATTGAATCATGTCGCCTTTCCATTTGGTGGTCTCTAAAGGCTTCCCATTTCAATCAGAAAAAAATACAAACTTCTCTCGAGGGTTAAGGCCCTGCAAAGTCAGGTCCCTGCCCACCTCTCCACCCTCTACCTCCATGTTCCAACCCCAGAGCCTTTACTTAGCTCCACTGGCCCGTCTCGTCACAGAGCAAGATGCAGCTGTTCTCTCAGTCAGGAATATTATTTACTCTTTGTTAGTTTAATTTTCACACACTTTTTTAGACCTCATGGAAGCCTTCCCTGACCCTCCAACTTATATAGATTCTCATCTAGACTTTATCACAAAAGAAAGGTCAAAAGAATTTTAAGGCACAGGACAGATGTACCAAAAGTAAAACTTCATTTTGAGATAAATTTATGAACTAAATTATAAACTTATATAAAATGATTTTTTGAGAGTCTCACTATGTTGCCCGTGGTAGAGTGCCGTGGCGTCATAGCTCACAGCAACCTCTAACTCTTGGGCTTAAGTGATTCTCTTGTCTCAGCCTTCTTAGTAGCTGGGACTATAGGTGCCTGCCACAACACGGGGCTATTTTTTTGTTGCAGTTGTCATTGTTGTTTAGCTGACCTGTTGTTTAGCTGGGCATGAACCCTAGAATTTTAACTTTTAAAATTTTATTAAATGTATATGTAGAAAAGGAAAATATGCTATTTTATAAGCTAAGTACAATCTTTATTTCTCCAAATCGCCTCAAAACTTACTTGGAAATCTGCTTATGACCACCCTGCCTCCATTTTCCTCCTCTCCCCTACCCCGAGAAGAAACTCACATCTAAAGCACACCAGTCTTGCATCATTGAAATGACATGAGTTAATTTCATTTGTAGTGTAAAGGCTGCTTCCCATTCTGGTTCCATTTCAATATGCTGTCCTACTTGACGTGTGATTGGATCCATTCCCTTAAAGGAAGTGAAAAAATGTTATATGCATTAAAATTATAGTTGTTCTCTTATATGAAATCCTAAAAAATAATGTAAAGGAAATATATATTGAGTATAAAAACACATAAGGTGTATGTTTTCACAGGAAGTAGTATGAGAAATTATAGTTTTAAATTTATAGTGTTTATGTTATAGTCTTGAAATACAAATCAAAAATCCTGATAAAGTCTAGAATGAATTATTTTAGAGGCAATCTTATAGATCTTTTTTAGACAAAAAAATACTTTAATACTTTACTGCAATAATCCTTCAAATTCTTTTCAGCTCTATTATCTATAGAAAAAATTGTTAAAAGAAATTAGGCAGGCTTTTAAAATGTTATCGAATTTATAAATATATTTTATATTAGAATAAAGTTTTAGTATTTATGGTCTAATATGCAATTAAGTTTTTCACAGCCTGAAAGAAAAGAAAGATAAATAAATTTTAATTAAAAATTACTTTTCAGAAACCAGTCTAACTACTCAGCTATGTCAGAACTTACTAAATAATAGAGAATACAGAATATCTTAAATATTCAAAATGACCAAGGTAGCTATTATTTTTATTGATACGTGAAAACCACAGTACTATAATATATTAAATACCCATGAACTGTCACTGAACCTAGGAACCAGAATGTTTCCTAAAAATGATAGGGTAACTTTTGATTATTCTTTTTCTGAAGAAAGCCTGATAGCTACTAAAGGAATCAAAATACTATTTGTGCAGATTTTTAGAGATGTCACTTATCTTTTTACTGTTAAAACTGGGAGGGGGCAAGATGGGTGGAGAGAGAGTAATTGGTGGGACCACACCTACGGTGCATCTTATAAGGGTACTCACTGTGAAACTTACTAAGTGTAGAATATAAACGTCTTAACACAATAACTAAGAAAATGCCATGAAGGCTATGTTAACCAGTTTGCTGAAAATATTTCAAATTGTATATAAAACCAGCACATTGTACTCCATGACTGCATTAATGTACAGCTATGATTTAATAAAAAAATTTAAAAACCCCAAAAAACCGATTAAACAAACCTGCGGGTTTCTACTTCTAGATTCTGTTTCATGTATGGAGATGGTTCCCCCAAAATAAAAGAATTAAACAGGGGAAAGAGTTCTACACTGTATTATATAAATATCACATCAAGGAGAAAAAAGAAATAAAGAAACGCTAAGAAACAAAACTAAAAACAGCTATAGCTTTCCTAATAACTAACTTGACTATTCTTCCCAACAAGCCTTGTTAGAAAATGAACTTCTAACCTCTAAAAAAAGAACATTAATGTAACCAAAAGAATTACCAAATACAAACAGCAGCAATGCCTGAGCCTTTGCTGGGATCTGACTTGCTGTACCTTTCTAAGAGTCTCTGATTAAAGAGCTTCTTGGCCTAAAGGCAGCCATCCAAATTGATCTTTTGGAAATGTGCCCAAATTTAAAAAAAAAAAAAAAAGAATAAACAGAAAGGCGTTCAATTCAATGAACAAAAATAACAAACACATGCGGTGGTGTGTTTGTAGTCACAGCTACCCACGAAGCTAAGGTAGACGGATCGTTTGAGGCTGACGTATGCTATGACTGTGCCTGTGGATAGCCACCACACTCTAGCCTGTGTAGCACAGAGAGACCTCATCTCTTTCAAAAAAAAACAGAAGAAAAAAAAGGAAAGAGGAAGGAAAAGAAAAAGTTATCAGTTTATACATACCTGCATGCATTTAAGTAATTCCAAAAAGGCATCAAATCCTTGTAGGAACTTCTGCCTCAGTTCATCTGACCATTCAGTTGGTTTGCTAATTAAAACATACCTGAACAAGATAACAGCCGCAATGAACATACATACTAACATTTCACAAGTTGCAACTGGTTTAATAATTGAACGAAAACTTACTTGAGATCTAAAATAAGGCTCTGAACTCTCCTAAACTTGAAGGCTTGTAAAGCAGTGTATCGTTCAAACTGAAATCTGCCCTGGGCATCTCGGTGTCTCAAATGATCCATAAAAGTCTTAATGATAATGGTCATCAGGTTTTCTTCTGTGATGAGCATTCGAGCCTAAAACAAAGTAGACCGGAGACTGTGGTAAGCAGAAACTATTTACTAGGAGGAAACAAAACAAAACAAAAGACCAAAAAGCCAAAAAACAACTCATCAACATTGCTTAGCTCTTTCAGTTTAAAACTCTTTTCAACACAACCATATAATATCATAAATGTATTACTGCGTATTTCTAAATAACAATTACTTACTCCAATTGCCATGTGTATGAAGCAACAATTATATCAGATGCCAGAAAGATGCCAGAATGTTAGAAGACAGTTCCAAGCCTCATTATTCAAAGATAATTCAGGGTGGGGGATCTGAATCAGGCTGCAAATTTTCCTTAACTGAGACATTTAGACACCTATAATGGTATGGTATAATTATTCTAAGATTCAGAGGTTTATGTCAAATTTTCTCTAGAACTCAGTATGAAACTATATTTCTTCTTAATCTCCTTAGTTAATATTTACTTTTTGCTTTGTTTCTATGTATAGATATATATTGTGTAATATCTCTATGTATTTTTAAAGAAGCCAATACATGTAAATGGTGCCAAATACAAGTAAAAAGTAAGGCCCTAGCACCTGAAGTTTCCCGTCCAAAGGCAAGCCCTGTTATCATTTTTTGCACATTCTTGCAGAGGTGTTCTGTGTGTGTAATATCTATATATCTATACATATATACATATAGAATACAAAATAAAATACAAATAGATTAAATGTATATTAAGTATATATAAGTCTGGATATGTCTAATTATAACTCTGTCCCCTGAAGGATAGCATATTATAAATACTGTTCTGTACTTTTTTACTTGATATAGTTGAGAGACTGCCCCATATCAGTTCATACAAATTTCCCTTTTTCTTTCTAACTATCACCAGAGAAACTTTTGTATCATACTTTATTTGGTCAGGCCCTTACTGGTAAGACACTGGGTTATTTCTGGTTTTGTGCTCTTACAAAAGATGTTGCAACAAATATCCACTGTGTACAGTTGCAGTATTTATACAATAATTCTCTAAAAGTAGAAGTAATGGGTTAAAGAGTATATACATTATAAAATTACCAAATTGTTTCTACAAAGAGGCTTAACAACTTATATTTTTGCCAACGATGTGGGCCTTGCCCCTCATGCCTTCCACAACACAATATAACATCAAACATTTTGATCTTTGCCACTGTTGATTTTAATCTGTCATAAGTTAGACTTTCTAATTTTATTTTAAATACCACATTTTTACTCTGATACATAACACCATGGATCTCTGGCCCATCCCCTTCCTGCCTCAACGGCTAATCCCTCCTAGGTTTTATGGAGTGTTACTGATGCTGGGTGACAACTTAAGTCTCACATTAGTCAGTATCAGATAATTAGCAAGAATGTTTCATCAAAAAGTAGACCAAAGTAGAAGAAAGAAGTCTAAGAATACAGTAAAGCTGTATTCTAATGTGGAGGTCAAGTGCTTAAGTCATAAGATGGGCGGACAATTTACAGAGTTAAGTATACCTTTGAACACTCTTAAGTCAGCATCAATGGCCAGGATTTAGGCCTTAAGAAGCTCAAAAGTCAACAGGATTAACTTCTATTAAATTTTCCTCCAGTGAAGGTGAAGATGAAGTTTAAAGGGGTGGGGCATGTTGTTAGGTTAAGTAAAAAAATTTTCCTTGTTCTTTGCTGTATTAGTTGACTTTGAGGAAGTTAAAAGAGTATGATTCAATTCCACTGAGCTAAGAAAAACCTGTGTAGAGTCAGCTCATAAAACTTCAGAGTAGGTAGAAAAGAAGTTTGTCGAAGGTCAATCTCACTAATCCAGGTACTCCTTAGCATTTTCAGTTTCAGATGAACGCTAAAAGAGATGACTCACATATTGCAACTGAATTCTAATTGTCTGTGCTGGGGGGTCAAATAAGAAATTAAGAGAGTGGCTCATTATTAATGTCCCCTTAAAACAGGGGAGTAGCCTGGCGTGGTGTGGGTGCTTAAAGTCTCCGCTATTTTGGAGGCTGGGGCAGGACATTTGCTTGAGCAACATGGGCAACGTAGCAAGACCCTGTTTCTAAAACACAACAAAACACTAAGAAACCCTGAAACAAAACCAAACAAAATCCAGGGGAGTTATTCTGTTTCTAAAATAAGACATGGACAAACCCCCCACCCTGCCCAAACAAATAAAACTCAGAGCTGAGTTACTCAGCATTTCTACTTTTAAAAAGATAACTAAAGCTAGTATTTCCCAAAGTTATGAAGAGAAAAGGAAAAAAAAACCTTAAGTGCTTGGCTTTATCAACACTTTGAGGTAATGTTTAACATTAAATATCTAACATTATTGTATATTTCTAGTACTTATCATTTAACCTAAAAATGACTTCAATTTTTGTATCTATAATTCACTTTGTTTTAAGAAAACATTACCACTACTTAATTACAGTTTTTATTCACTTTATGTAATTCATATTCAATTTTGTTTTGCAAGGCTCATCACACATTTAACAAAATATTCAAAATAAGCCAAATTCTCCCCTATGATCTGGAAAGCTTCACTGAATATTAACAATCTATGCCCATACTCTTAGTTAAACTAAACATGCTATAGCGCCCAGAGATAATGCTGACTGAGGGCACATTTAATAAAATAAACTGGAGCAACTATCATGAATTCTTAAGTACTGGTTCTTGACCGAACTAAAAATAGTGACTGCATTAGCTGTAAGGCAATTCTGATTCAAAGATAATTGAATTATCTTTGATAAAAAAACAGAAGAAAAAAAGGAAAGACACCACGGCCATAAAACATTCCACTATCTAGGGCAAGTTATTTTAAACCAAGAATGCACAGAAGAATTACTAATGGAGCTTTCCAAACAAACTATACAAGTACTCTTCTAATTCTAATGGTGACAGAGTGGTTGGAGACTAACCAACACTTCCATCAAGAACAACTCAATTAAAAAATAAAGTTTGAAGGTGGGGTGCAGTGGCTCACGCCTGTAATCCTAGTACTCTGAGACGCCAAGGTGGGAGGTTTGCTTGAGTTCAGGAGTTCAAGAACAGCCTGAGCAATGGCGAGACCTCATCTCTACTAAAATTAGAAAAATTAGTCAGGCATTGTGGCAGGCACCTGTAGGCCTAGCTACTCCAGAGGTTGTGGCAGGAGGATGGTTTAAGCCCAGGAGTTTGAGGTTGCTGTGATGCCATGGCACTTTAGCCTGAGGCAGAAGAGCGACACTATCTCAAGGGGAAAAAAAAAAAACAACCTAAATGATGAGAAGAAATTGAAAAGGATTTCAAAGATTTAACCTCTCAAACATTCCAAGTTGAAATTCATTAAATATTACTTTATTTATTTTTTTGAGATAGAATCTCACTCTGTAGCCCTGGGTAGAGTGCCGTGGCATCTTAGTTCACAGCAATCTCAAATTCTTGGGTCCCAGTGATTCTCTTATCTCAGCCTCCCAAGTAGTTGGGTCTATAGGCACCTGCCACAATGCCCAGCTATTTTTAAAGACAGGGTGTCACTCTTGCTCAGACTGGTCTCAAACTCCAGAGGTCAGGCAATTCACCTGCCTCAGCCTCCCAAAATGTTAGGATTACAAGTGTTAGCTACCATGCCCAGCCAGGTTAGTTAAATTTTAAAATAAACAACCAGGTAATTCTTGTGTCATCTAATTTATTTTAGGGCATAGAGACAGACATATACTCAATCATATACTCAGTTCATTTTACAAAGCCAAAGTCTAAATAAACACATATACAGGAAGATAACACTGCGCACACGAGCAAAAATTCTAAATAAAACATCACCAAACTGGACTTAGCAGTATATTAAAGGAATGCACTGCAGCCCCGTAGCATTTATAACATAATAGCAGGATGACTTCAAAATTAGAAAAGTTAATTTGTTGTATTAATAGGTCAAGGAATCTGATTATTCTTCTTCAACCCAGGAGTGTATTTACTGCGTCAATAGCACAAAGCAAGAAAAAAGACCCCATCATTTCAACAGATGGAGAAAAAGCATTTGCTAAAAATATCTAACCTCGATTAAAAATCATACAATACCCAAATAAATTTAAGTAAACTAGAGCAAAAGAAAATATTCTTAGTATGATAAAATATTAATCAAAACCAGAAGTAAGCACTATCTTTATTCTATATTAAAACACCTAACGGGACTTCCATTCAAGTCAGGTAACAAATAAGAATGTGGCCGTCACTCAGAGTGGTCCTTCTGAAATAGAAGCCAAATAGCTTGCCGTGCTCACAACCCTGCAGTATCTCTCCATTTCACTCCGTATAAAAGACCAAAGTACTTACAATGGCCAGCGAGGTCTGGTATTGCCCATTCCCACTTTCACTCCATCCCTAAACTTAATGACCTCACTGACCATTCTCCTCCTCACTCACTTACTTTAGCAAATATGGGGTTTTTTTTGGTTGTTGTTCTATCCTCCAAAATGCCAAGTATGCCTTCATTTCAGAAATTTTGCATCTTTTGCTCTTCCACCAGTTAATAGCGTCACTTGCTCTCTCATTTTCCCTTTTGTATCATCCTATACAGAATATGACCCATCCTTTCTATTCCCTTAACCTATTTTTCTACTTTGAAGTACTTACCAACAGTTAATTTCTAATAAAATACAATTGTTTGCGTATCTATTTCCTCACAGTTAGGCTAGAATTATGTTATTCACTGCTGTATTTATCCCCCAGACCCTAAGATAGTGCCTACTCATTAAAGGCCCTAAATCTGTTTTGCATAAGTAAATACATATACTAATTTTCTAGTGTTTCTAACTAAGGGAGTCAGATGAGAAACAAAAAGCTGAAACACTAGGGAAAAAAAGCAAAGCTCCCATTTGTAGATAACTGGAAATTCCAGTGAATCAACGCAAAACATTAGAAGGTTAGTAAGTGGATCGGATAGATATAAGATGGATACATAAAATCAGTAGTTTTCTTACATACTAGCTATCTCCTGTTTAAAAATGTAAATTATGATAGCAGAGAAATTATAAGACATATAAACTTAATTTAAAAATGTGTTAGACTATTAAAAGAGAACCATGAAGCTTTTACTGAGGACATAAAATAACATTTCAAAAAATGAGAACAAATTATATTCCTAGGTGGTAAATATCCAGTGTTATAAAGGTATTAGTTCTTGAATTAATCCATAAATACAATGTCTTTTCAGTCAAAATACCAATGTAGTTTGGTAACTGACAAACTGATTTTAGTTCATCTTTAAAAAAAGGTCTAAGAATATTTGGAAAAGAATAATGAAAGGAGATTTAGCTCTATAAGACATCAAGAGAATATTAAGCTATAAATAATTACTACAAATGTGTTACTGGCATGGAAATGGATAAAAAGATCACGGGAGGAGAGAAACACAGATTTGAAATCTCACAGGATCGTCTCATCGGCTTCTCAAACTTAACCTTGTCTACACTGGAGCTATCACTTTTCCTCTTTACAAATCTGAGTCACTCTCTAAAGTTCCCTGTATCCCAGCAAGGGACAACATTCACTCAGTTGCAAGTCAGAAACCCACAAATCATCTTTAAACTTCTTCAAACCCAACATTCTGTTAATCACCAAATCCAACATCCCTCAACACAAGTGCCAGTTCTCTCCCAACTCACATCCACTGTTAGCACCCTGGTTTAAACCACCATCAATTCTTGTCTGGAGCTCTGCATTAGGATCTATTTAGGTTCCCCACACTCATTTTTAGCCCCCTCTAATCTCTTCTCCAAATTATAAACAGCACGATCTTTTAAAATCACAAATGTAATGATGTAAGTATAACCAAAATTCTTTAATGCTTTCCCATGCTCTTAAGATAAAAATAAAAATCTTTAAGCTGGTCTATAATTATAGGTCATTAATGATTAAACAGACTCCTGGACAGGTTCAACCATATTAGAATATATAAGTTAACATAAAAGTAATATGGAGAAAAAAACGAGTCATTTTTAATGTCTTATTAATAAAGTAACTGTAAAATGTTCTTAAATCTATATAATTTCACTCTGTACTCAATGATCTTCAAGTGTCTTGGCTTTCCTCTGTTTGCCATACAGGCAATGCTCCTCCCTATCCTAGGATTTTCTCGAGTCCCTCTGCCTGGACCCTCCTTCATCCCCTGCATAAAGGTATCTTCTTTAGAGAAGCTGTCTTTGAACTGTGGGAAAAGGTCAGAACTCCTATTATTCCCTCTCAAAGCAACCAGTTTTCAGAATTTTCATTATAGTTTCAATTAACTATTTATGTGAGTCTGTCTCTTTATGATAAGGATCACATCCGTTTGTTCACCACCGCATTCTCAAAGCCTAAAACTGTGCCCAGTGGCTCATGCCTGTAATCCTTGTCCCCTAGGAGGTGGTGGATTGCTTGAGCTCAGGAGTTCAAACCAGCCTGAGCAAAAACAGAAAAACTAGCCAGACATTGTGGTGGGCACCTGTACTCCCAGCTACTTGGGAGGCTGAGACAAGACGATTGCTTGACCCTAAGAGTTTGAGGTCATTGCACTTTACCCAGGGTGACCAAGTGAGACTCTGTCTCAAAAAATGAACAAAAAACTAAAAAAACTGTGCCCAACAGATATTTAATAAATTTGTTGAACAAATTTTAATTGTCATATAGTGATTACATAACGATGCCTTCAAGAGCAACTAGTAACATTCATCATCATCGTGATTCAACAATTGCCTTAGCTACCCCTTCTCTTATGGCAGTGGGGTGGGGAGGAGGACTTCTCAAATTGTGAGCTAGTATACAATATGCTGTTTGATTCTAATGTCAAGGATAAAGTTGTTAAACCAATCAGCTTAATGGTAACTCATCAGTTCAAAACCTCATGAAAAGTATTACGAGAAAATATAGACATCTTCCCCCCATCCTCTACCCTGAAGAGAGTAAGTACAGACTAAACGGAAAGGACTTTTTCCCCAGATTACTTTGATATTCAAAAATGTTCTAATATATTTGAAGGTGCCTGAAGTCTGATTGCCCATTATAAGAATATTATTCTATTCAGGAATACTACGTACACAGGTTTTAGTTCTCTCCTATTTTAAGGCTTTACTTCTGTTATTGGAAAACAAGAAAGTTCTTCTAGTTTTTCAGTACTTACAAGCGAAGGAACCGTGAATATCTGAACCGAGAGGTCTGCGATTGAAAACTCTCTGTCGTGGTCATCTGTCACATAATCACTCTGCAAACGCTCATAGTTCTATTAAGAAGGCAAAAAAAGGCAAGGAGTGCCAGCTATCAGTTACAAAGAAAAGACAAGCACTACTCACCAGAGTAGGTGCGGTGAAGAACTGGACAGACAGAGCAGTCACCGACACTGCTCGCTCGTGATCATCCTCCATAAAATCTCTCTGCAACTGCTGGTAATTCTAAACAACAAGGGGGAGATTCACCTCTAATCCATATTGACCAAAGGTTTAAAGATTATAACGAAAAGTTAGTGCTGGAGGAAGTCAGTAAGGTAACGCTGCTGTGCGAATAATAACCGAAATGATCTCTACCTATTAAATCTTATATAACTTAGTGATTCACTGTGGATTCTGTGGAGTCCTGTGTAAATACAGATTCTTCCAAAGTACATGGCAGTTTGCCAGCCCAAACAGACAGTGACAGTCACTGTAATCCTAGGATGCCAATGTACACTGGTGGGCTACACCATAGCAGCATTACACTGTCTCTAATGAAACCAGACTTTCATTACTTCTAGATGCATATCAGAATCATTTGATGACTTTTGCAAAGTACATGTGCTTGGACCCCACTCTTGGTGAATGAACTTCAGCAGATTTTATAACAGAACGCAAACACATGTATTTTGAAAGAGTTCTCCGAATGATTCTTACACGCTTCCTTGGTTAAGGACTAATTTGAGTGAATACAAAAAATAAGTGGTTAGCTTAATCCCATGCTACTAAAAAGAGGGAGAACATAATTCACTTACATCAACAACCAAGAGTTTATAATTCTTAAATCATATCCATATATACATGTCATTTCAACTAAGATTATTGTTTCCTAAAATGAACTTTAGGAGGAACAATACTATAATTCACAATGGCCTAGGTTTAAATTTATCATTTCATAGCACAGACGCTGTATAGATGGATACTCATGTTACCATGGGAGGTGATGAACAAGAAGTCTCACTGCTATAATTTCATTCTATTGATAAAGAGATAAAAATATTATTTATTCAAAATTCTTAGAATTTAAAATCAACACATTGATATATTACCATCAGATGCTAATTTGTTGAAGCCTAGATAGAATCATGAGCCATAATTACTCCAAATACAACCTGTCTTGTTAAGTCTTCGTAATGGAAAACCACTTACTTTTGCAAACCGAACAGCAAAGAGTTTCTTGTATTTCAAATCCATAAGCAGACTGCTCATGAACAACTGATGATACACACTCCTAGCACCTTTCAGAAAAAGATCAGGATGTGAGAAGGATATACCAAATAAGCCAAAAATGACATTTCCAAAGATCTCAATGTGATCAATTGTATTTTTTTTTAAAGGGATGGGATCTTGCTGTATTGCCCAGCTCAGGCTGGGCACCTGAGCTCAAGCATTCTTCCACCTCTCAGCTTCCCAAGCAGCTGGGACTACAGGTATGGGTCACTGCAACTTGTTTATATTTTAAGCCTCAAAAACAAAACTACACATTTTCCTTAGCACAAAATAAAAATTTTATAATCTGCTTATTTATAAAATCAGGTTTGCTAAACATAATTTTAAAACAAAGTATAAAGGCTATTTGATTTGGCTCATGACAAAAGACTAACATTTCAATTACTTACATAAGTACCTCTGTTCCTTAAAAGTAATAAAGAGATTCACCTTTCCACAATTTGGAATCATTAAGCATCAATTTATCCACAAGAGAAGAGTTTTCGCCATCTGGCCCTTCTTGTAAACCAACTTGACATAAAATCCGGCGAAGGCCATCTTTAAATTGAAGGAAAAGTACGTATGAGATAGCAACATCAAATATTAAAATAAAGTTACATTTTAATAGATATTTCACTAGATCTATAGAGTTTTACATGTTTTATTAAAGGTCAAATTTATTCAGAAAAAGCAAACATACTATTTTATTAATATTTTTACAAAAAGTAGATAAATCCCAAATATTACTTCGTATACTAATCCTTACTCCAGAATGTTAAAATATATGTCTATTATAAAGGCAATAACTTCCTGTGCTTTAACGAATTTAAGAGAAAAAAATCCCCAAATCACTGAATATCATTCTTTTAAGCACTAATATTAACTAAACTAGAATATAGTAAAATTGATACATATACATCCTATGATAACTGAAGGTAGGTATAATATAAAATTGTGCTAACACGTATAAGAAGGAATGCGTGATTTCTGCACTGTAATGTATACCAATGTGTTTTATTAATGCTATACAAAATGCTTTTCATTCATTAAACAAAACTGACTCTGGACTTGCCATGTGAGAGGCCCTGGAAGACAAATTCCTACATCTCCTAAATGCTAAACTAAAAAAAGTTCTTCAAATATTAATATGAACATTGAAGTAACCAAATTTTTGACATCTTTTTGTTTTGCCATGCTTATAAAAATTTTTTTGGAGACAGAATCTCATTTTGTCCTGGCTAGAGTGTCTTGCTTTTCAGCCTAGCTCACAGCAACATCAAACTCCTGGGTTCAAATAATCCTCCTGTGATCTTCTGAGTAGCAGGGACTATAGGCACCAACCACGCCAGGATGCCCTATTTGTAGTAGAGACTGGGTCTCGCTCTAGCCCTGGCTTGAACTCCTGAGCTCAAGGGATCCCCCAACCTTGACCTCCCAAAAGTGCTAGGATTATAGGCTTGAGCCACTGCATTCAGCCCATCATACTTTAAAATTTAAACCAGTGCTTTTAGTCTTCTTCAAGTATACAAAATAATTAGGAAAAAATGGAGTAGATTTAAAATTTAATTATAAATTTGCCAAATAGAAATAATTTAAAGAGGTAACAAGAAAAGCTCATATAGATATTAAATATACACATTTAAATTATTGATGATAAATATCTCAAAGAATATTTTTGGCAGAAAATTATTTCCACAATACAGTTCCTTAATACTCTACCATAGTACTTGGCGTATATGCGTACTTTTCAATGGAAAACACCAAAAATAAAGAATATGGGGCTAAGAAAAATAACTGGAAATGCACTTGAAAGGCAAGAAAACATGTTCTCCTAAACTTCCACACCTCCACAATTTCAACTGTCAGTTCAGCGTGGTAATGCTCTTACAGTCTTTCAATACAATGTTTTAGAAATTTTCTTGGCTTGGCGCCTGTAGCTCAGCGGCTAGGGTGCCAGCCACATACACCAGAGCTGGCGGTTTCGAATCCAGCCTGGGCCTGCCAAATGACAATTACAACCAAAA